GCACTTTCCCACACTTCATCTTTACCTGGTGCATCAGCAACAACTGACACTAGGCTTGCTCTGGCGGACCGTGTCTGTGGTTTTATCGCAGAAAATAACGTTCAGAATATCACTACCGCTGGTAGATTTATTTAAATCATTTGCAGTTGATCGAAGTGCACTGTGCACTCAAACTTGATAGGGAAACCTTTTTCTTAAATATTGACGTGTCCACAAACAAATGTGGACAGAATTTTCTCGTCCTTTTGCAATATTTTGACGAGGACAGAGCCAAAGTGTTGACGCTCCATATCGCCTCAAGTAAAGCTACTCTCACTAATATTCTGTCAAAAAGTTTACTCGTTGCTTGATCCACTTATATTTCATATCAAAATACACTGTATATCTTTGAAGAATTCATTTGAGCTGTATTCAATATACAATCTATTATACAATAATATATTGTAATTACAAATATAACTTGGTCCTGCATATTACTGTGATATACATGTGATAAATTTCCATGCAAAATTTTTCAGTCAAATCTTTTTTTTTTTTTGCTTTAACCCCTGTAACTAGCACTTGCTCCAAACTGAGATTGTCAAAATGACTGCACTGCGAGTTAAAGGCAGAACTCCTCACAAATTAATAATATAATAAACTACATACAGATACAGACAAAGTTATGAAGACCACGCCGAGTCTAGAAACGTCAAATCGCCTTTTTAAAAAGTTTAAAATAACATCTTAACTCTAGAACTCCCAGAGCAGTCAATTTGACGGCTTTTCCTTTTGGAATTGTAATAACTCGCTTATGTACGTTTATGGTTTTCATAACATCGTGACTTTTTCTATACATTGTGTAGTTTATTTATCCATCCATGTGATTAAGCGTATCAAATCAGACCAGACCCCAGACTGGTCCCAGACTGGTCCCAGACTGGTCCCAGACTGGTCCCAGACTGGTCTCAGACTGGTCTCAGACTGGTTTAGAGCAGTCTCAGCTTGGATCAAGGGCCGGTTACCATAGCAACACATTGTTTACTTGCAGCAGTTAGCATTTAGTTTTGTTGCTTTTATTTTATATTAACCAGTTTTAACATGTAAAATAAATGTAAAAAAAAACCCAAATGAATTACTTAATCGTAAAAAAGACAAAAACTTTTTTTTTCTTTTCAGATTTACAACAATCTGGGAGCTATAGTAGTTTTGAGTTAACCATAAAATATTCTATAATGTAAATATTGGTGTTAACACTAAAAAGTAGCCTGGTGAGCTATTAGCTGTATATCTCAACACTGTTACACAGATTAAATATAAATTATAATTACGGATTACCTAATTTAATCTAGTATATTTGAATAATTTGACTCAAAAACTGTATTTAGACTTTTGATTTTCTTCATTATGGATGGTTGTGTAAACAGCTGCATGACTGTCACAGAGCTCAGAACATGTGCCTGATCATGTTAATCTGGTGCAGTACAGTTGCAGAAAAGTTCTAGCAGAGAAAAACAAACTTGTGGAAAAGCTCTTGGTGCAGCAGTTTGGGTTTGTGTGCCTTGAGGCTATTTGAGGCTCCGTGTTAATCCCGTATGGAAATGGCAGCCAATAGATGCTGCTGTTGAGTTGGGCTGGGATTATCAGGAGGCGAATGAGTTGCAATTTTACTAGATTACAGAACAAAGAAAAAGGGAAAGGGACACACTCCGACTGTATGTAAAAAAAAAAAGGCGAAATCAATTGAGAAATTATCAGCACAGAAAAGAAACACAGACCCATGCAGGAAAGCAGTGCATTTGAGACGTGTTTGAGACTGGACAGCGTTGGAAATTAGCAGCGTTTATCATGGATTAAAACGGGGAAGAATCTGGGATTGACTGCAGCATCGAGGCTACTTCTGTACTTAATTCGGTGAGATTTGACCGCATGTTTTTGCTTCCGTGTGCGCTCTGTTTACGTGTTTACTACCGGGGTTTTGACTCCCATATGCACGAAAACAAACAAGCGAGCAGAAGCGAGCAGCATGGGGAGAAACACGGAGCGAATGCTAGCTAGCTAACGAGCTAACGCGGCTAATGCTAGCTTCGGCTGCCTCTGGATTAGCATCATGTTACTGCGGTGTAATAAAGCAGCAAAAGTGCATGTGCATGGGATTATAACGTCACATTTATGATATAAGCGAGTTGGTGAATGTGCAAAGTTACTCTCGAGTTTAGGCTGAGATTAAGATTATTACAGGCGTCAATCCACCTGTCTTCATAGTTCATAACCAGAATATCTATCAAAACAAAAGGAGAACCCGTGCTTATCTGAGTCCAAACGACACTACTAACTAAAAATGGGCAGGCAGCGTTTCAGATTCATGCAACTGAAATCTGGAGCAGTCTTCCAGAAAATGTGAGACAGGCTTCGTCTCTGACAATGTTCAAATCCAGGTTAGAAACAGTTCTGTTCAGCTGCAAACAGAAGGATTAAAGCTTCACTCTTTTGTCAATGCACAGTGATTATTTATGATTTGAATGTCTTGTTTTGTTTGCACTTGAGTTGTATTTTCCATGACCTGTGCTTTACAAAGAAACTTGTCTTGCCTAATGCTATTGCTAAAACCCTGACACTGTGTGAAATGTATAAAAGCTGATAAAAGAACCTCGGAAAGTTTGGAGGCAAAGAAAAAGTGGAATAGGATGAAAATAATAGTATCACAAAATACAAGTTCAATTTGTTAATTTTTTAATCTGGATTTGAATTAAGAAACTGAATTTGTAAAGTTGCAAATTACAGGAGAAATAAGAGCGCTCAGGATACGCACACATTAAACTATATCTGTGATTTAAAATAATAGATAATGAACAGATAATAATCACTGGTGCTATAACTGCACTTCAAAAACAAATACATTGTTAAAGTATAAACTGTAAAGGTGCAGGAAACATCTGTTCTGTTCAGTATTGTGATCTTTACATCGTTACAGTAGAGTCTCAGGCCTGAGGTCCAATTGCGGCCCTCTGCGTCCTGTTATGTGGCCTTCTGCCTTGCTAACCCTAAGTACCATTTAGATTACAAATAATGATAATAATAATAATAATAATGTACTGGTTTTATTTACGTCTTTTTGGAAACTAAAATACACTTCATATGTAATTATTCTTTAATTCCTTACACAGTGGTGATAAACTACTGTAGCCACAGCTATGGTCATGTCATACCTCCTTTACATCTCAAAATAGACCAATTCCAGTGAAAAAATAGTTTTACAATCTGTGTTGTCGGCCCCTGGACACGCACTGGTCTCTAAAGTGGCCCTCTTACTAAAGTTTGGACACCCCTGCTCTATGATGTCTGCTTTTGGCCACTCTATTCTATTGTATTTGAATCATTTTAGTTATGTGCTGGGAGAACACCATTCATGTGCATTCCTCCGTTGTGAGATCAATAAAGTTTATCTGATCTGATGCGAGCGGTCGCCCATTCAGGAAGAATTATGTCTGAACAGTGTTTTTCACTTTAGTTCATGTGCAGACCATAATGAATGCCATATTTGAGTTGAGTCTTATTTATAATGTCTTTGAATAATATTACGGACATGAATCACAATATATCACAGAATCTAACCGCAATAATATAGAATTGTGGCCCAAATAATATCGTCAAATTTTGTTCCCACAGCAATACACTGTAGCTAGTGGTCAGGAAGTCTCACATTTACTGATGGGTCATACTTTAGCAGCAGATAGTATCGTCAGAAAGCAGCAGGTAAATGAACCATGAGAACAGATGAGTAGATATGTGCGGGCTTCACAGATCTTGTGCAGTCAGAGGTCATTGGATTTATTTTTCATGTTAGATCATTATTATAACAATTAAACGTGCATGAATGGAATTGGATTAGGGAATGACAGCATGAGGGCGACCGAACTCACACCAAATGAGACAAATGTGAGCTGTTGAAAAGCAGTGAGAAAAGCATTTTACCCGGTACACCTTTTAAAATGTGTTAAGATGAAGAGCTCCTTTATTTGTCCCACACTGGGGAAATGTCAGTGTTGCATCACCAGTTACAGAGCAATAGGAATGAAGCACATGATAAGTCTAATAACTCTCCAACTTAAAGGAAACAAAATAATCATTCTAAAAACAAATAAGTAGTTTATTTTTTTTAAAGGTACACTTTTACTGTCCCCTAATGTTTCCAAACACCACCTGCTTGAGAACATTCTGTGCTCTAAGGCAGGGGTGTCCAAACTATTTAGGAAGAGGGCCCATTACAGGATTCTGAGCGATACAATTAGGCTTGATTCATATTGATTCACACCACAGCTACACTGGAGCTATTTTGTGAAAAATCATAAACAATTGACAGTATATAGAAATAAAGTTAATGGCGGAATTCCAAAAATTCACAACGAGTTACAGCATGAGTATATTGTAGGGGTGGGAACCTCAGGGTAACTCACGACACGATACGATACGCGATACAAAACAAAGCTCACAATAACGATTATATCACGATATGACGATTATCAATACATTGGTCAGAAATATACTGTTATAGATATCTTTTAGTAAAGCAATCTGAATAAACACAAAATAGTTATAAGTGTAAGTTTTTAACTAATTCTCAACTTCATTCAAATGCAGCACATATGGTCTGTTGGCAGCAGCTGATTGATGGAGATGTGTTTCTTTGGCAATATCTGAGCCATAGAACAATATGTTCAGGTCAAAGCAGATTATTACGAGATGCGTAATGTAGCCATATATTAAGTATTGATACTAATAAAAAAAAACCTTCTAGTATATTGGTGGAGCTGAAGTTGACTGGCTGACACTATGAAAGTGCCTCAATTGAAAGTTTGGGTTAACAAGGCAGAGGGCCACATAAAATGACACAGTGGGCTGCATTTGGGCCTTAATTTAGACATGCCTGCTCTAAGGTCAACTCAAATTAAGCTCCACTTCTATTCTCTTTTGTCTCTTTTCACATGTAATGCATTCATTTAATTGGTTGTGGCACACAGGGATGGCGCAGATGAGGAAAGTCACCCCCGATGCCTTACGAAGCCCCTCTCGCCTGGACTCGAGCCTCTCCCTGATGTCCCTGCGGCAGGAGATGCTCAGCAGCCTGGTGTCTGCTCTGGACTCTGTGGTACCACACGCTGCTCCTCAGGGCCGCTTACTTTCAGGGATTCAGACTAAACTATATAACGTTTGTGTTTCAGTGCACAGCCATGTCCAAACTGAATGCAGAGGTGGCCTGTGTCACGGTGCACGAGGACAGTGTGATCGCGGTGGGCACAGAGAAGGGACGAGTTTTCCTCAATTCAAGAAGAGAAATCCAGACAGACTTCTTCAAATTCTGCCGTGAGTGTCCTTTGCTTTATACAGTCCAGTGATGGAAATGAACACAGGCAGATACTGCAGTACACCCGAATACAGGAACTCCCAGAGCAGTCAATTTGACGGCTTTTATTATTGGAAGCGTGGTTACTTAGTGTATGTACCTTTTTGGTCTTCATAACTTTGTGACCTTTTCTCTATCTTTATATAGTTTATGTCTATATAATTATTTTTATGAAGTTATCTTTTATTTTTCAAACACGATTAGTTCTACCTGTAACTCCCAGAACAGTCATTTTGACTGCTCCTTTCATTTTTATGTAAAATTCAAATTCAGCCTTTTTCTGCCAATATTCTAAGGCAGTTAAAGCCCCGTTTCTCCAAGGTTCTGATTTTCTACCAGAGAAGGAAACGTGCTTGTTACCATAGTAACACACTGTTTACTTACTGCAGTACTAAACTATAACTATAATTACTACTATATTCACCAGTTTTAGCACTTATTGAAAGTGAGTAAAGGTAAAAGCCTTATAAATGTCTTACTTAATAACACTGGTAGTATTTTTTTGGGGGGAATTTCTCAGAATTCTATTGATTTGATTGGGAGCCGTCAAAATGACTGTTCTTGAAGTCCTTGTGTTAAATCAAACTGAGAGCAGTGTTTGCATCAGGCAGAAATATGTTTGTGTAAAACTAATTGTTCTGGGATTAGTTCTGTGTAATTTTCAGTTATTTTTAAATATGTATATAAAATAAAATCAGATGCATCAGTCCTACAGCTGCACACGTGAAAATCAGTTTTGTATTGAGCAATGATTTGTACATTATTATTTTGGTCGTGGAAGTCAGAAGTCAGGTTTGTTCTTATTCTGTTTATCTGAAAGATGTATCTTCTCTTACAAACTTTAATAGAGACAAACTCATTGGAGATAAATCTTGTATATTCCATTATAATTTCTTGTTCTTATGTGGCAAAAAAACATCGATAAAGTTATAGCAAAATGAAAAATGTGATCAACAGCAACAGCAGTCGTAGTAGTTTCGATCTGACACTGGTTTTCTGTTGACTTCTGAAAGGTGTCTGTGAGGGAGGTCCCTGACGGTTCGCTCTGATAAACAAACCACTAAAGAAGGTCCTTTTCTCCAGGTTTACCGTGTGTTCAAACTCAGAACACCAGCTCCCACACCAAAGACCAGGACGGAGACCAGATCAAATCCAAAAGCTCTGAGCAATGTCAACCTCGAACCTCAGACCAGTCCAACATCGCTGTTCTGAGGAAGATGGTGGAAGAAGTCTTCACTGTTCTCTACAGTAAGTCTCTCATTTGGATTCTGTCTGTTCTGACTCTTAGTGAAGAAGCGTGTCTGAGTTGGACTGAAAGACATGTTCATCGACGTTGCTGCTGAAGCTAAAACCCACAGTGACTGAATTTTTGTCAGTCACTGTTTGGAATATAAAAACAAGGTATTTGGCAAAAAGCCCAGTTGTTAAGAAGCTGCAATGAGTAAATCTGTCCACCAGGTTTTAAAACATCGACCTAACGCACACAAAAGAGTGGACTAAAGCACAACAGTGTCAGTGTTACCCAACCTTTTGAAACAATCACATTCACTCCACCAGCTCAAACTGACACAGAATGAAACTCTGCAGCCTTTATAAAGTCTTTCTAATCAAAGTAGTGATAATTATATAGTGCACCCTACATTTCCAGGAAACCTCAAAGTGCTACAGATTAAAATACAAAACGACAAACAACAAAACCAAGCAACATAATCAGAATTAAATAAATAAAGTGTTTTATACCAAAAATCAAATATATCAAAAAGTATTTCTAATCTACTCACATTAGCAAGCGCTTTGGGTGACCTTGATCTGTAAATTGTGCTCAATAATTAATAATTAAGAGGCTTACTTATTTGAACCAATAGGTAATATGTGATTTCCAAAGGCACATCAAACTGCATCTCAAGGCACACTAGCGGCCCACTGGTTCAGAAACTGCTCTTTCCACATGGGGGTATAAGAAAAAATATATAAAATCCCAATTATTTAACAAAGAGTGAAGAATAAGGGACACCAGTGTAGCACGGTCCATACTGATAGACTTTTCTGTCTTTGACGTATTTGTACTTTTAGTGAATATTGTGTGATGCAGGTGATGCGCTGGGGAAGAGCAGCCTTGTCCCTGTGCCTTACGAGTGGATCCAGAAGAACCCAGGGTGTGTGGTGGCTTCAGGATTACCAGAGGGAGTGACTCTGCGGAGACCGTCTGAGTACGACAGTAAAACCCTCATGCGGATTCTGGAGCTGAGCCACTGCCTCCACTTCAGCGTCCAGAGGTCAGACGCCATCTTTGTGTTGTTCTATAACTGTTCTAAACCTTCTCTATACTTGTTCTATACTCTTTATGTCTGTTGTGACTCTATGATGTCTGGACTCTATGATATCTGCTTGTTGTGACTCCATGATGTCTGCTTGTTGTGACTCTATGATGTCTGCTTTTTGTGACTCTATGATGTCTGCTTGTTGTGACTCTATGATGTCTGCTTGTTGTGACTCTATGATGTCTGCTTGTTATGGCTCTATGACGTCTGCTTGTTGTGATTCTATGATGTATGCTTGTGACTCTATAATGTCTGCTTGTTGTGACTCTATGATGTCTGCTTGTTGTGACTCTATGATGTCTGCTTGTTGTGACTCTATGACGTCTGCTTGTTGTGACTCTTTGATATCTGCTTGTTGTGACTCTATGACGTCTGCTTGTTGCGACTCTATGATGTCTGCTTGTTTTGACTCCATGATGTCTGCTTGTTGTGACTCTATGATGTCTGCTTTTTGTGACTCTATGATGTCTGCTTGTTGTGACTCTATGATGTCTGCTTGTTGTGACTCTATGATGTCTGCTTGTTATGGCTCTATGACGTCTGCTTGTTGTGACTCTGACGTCTGCTTGTTGTGATTCTATGATGTATGCTTGTTGTGACTCTATGACGTCTGCTTGTTGTGATTCTATGATGTATGCTTGTTGTGACTCTATGACGTCTGCTTGTTGCTACTCTATGATGTCTGCTTGTTGTGACTCTATGATGTCTGCTTGTTGTGACTCTGACGTCTGCTTGTTGTGACTCTATGACGTCTGCTTGTTGTGACTCTATGATGTCTGCTTGTTGTGACTCTATGACGTCTGCTTGTTGTGACTCTATGATGTCTGCTTGTTGTGACTCATTGATATCTGCTTGTTGTGACTCTATGATGTCTGTTTGTTGTGACTCTATGATGTCTGCTTGTTGTGACTCTATGATGTCTGCTTGTTGTGACTCTATGATGTCTGCCTGTTGCGACTCTATGATGTCTGCTTGTTGCGACTCTATGATGTCTGCTTGTTGTGACTCTATAATGTCTGCTTGTTGTGACTCTATGATGTCTGCTTGTTGTGACTCTATGATGTCTGCTTGTTGTGACTCTATGATGTCTGCTTGTTGTGACTCTATGATGTCTGCTTGTTGTGACTCTATGATGTCTGCTTGTTGTGACTCTATGATGTCTGCTTGTTGTGACTCTATGATGTCTGCTTGTTGTGACTATGACGTCTGCTTGTTGTGACGATGACGTCTGCTTGTTGTGACTCTGATGTCTGCTTGTTGTGACTCTATGATGTCTGCTTGTTGTGACTCTGATGTCTGCTTGTTGTGACTCTATGATGTCTGCTTGTTGTGAATCTATGATTTCTGCTTGTTGTGACTCTATGATGTCTGCTTGTTGTGACTCTATGACGTCTGCTTGTTGTGACTCTACGATGTCTGCTTGTTGTGACTCTATGACGTCTGCTTGTTGTGACTCTTTGATATCTGCTTGTTGTGACTCTATGATGTCTGTTTGTTGTGACTCTATGATGTCTGCTTGTTGCGACTCTATGATGTCTGCTTGTTGTGACTCTATGATGTCTGCTTGTTGTGAATCTATGATGTCTGCTTGTTGTGACTATGACGTCTGCTTGTTGTGACTCTATGATGTCTGCTTGTTGTGACTCTATGACGTCTGCTTGTTGTGACTCTTTGATACTGTATCTGCTTGTTGTGACTCTATGATGTCTGCTTGTTGCGACTCTGACGTCTGCTTGTTGTGACTCTATGATGTCTGCTTGTTGTGACTCTATGATGTCTGCTTGTTGTGACTCTATGATGTCTGCTTGTTGTGAATCTATGATGTCTGCTTGTTGTGACTATGACGTCTGCTTGTTGTGACTCTATGATGTCTGCTTGTTGTGACTCTATGACGTCTGCTTGTTGTGACTCTTTGATACTGTATCTGCTTGTTGTGACTCTATGATGTCTGCTTGTTGTGACTCTATGATGTCTGCTTGTTGTGACTATGACGTCTGCTTGTTGTGACTCTATGATGTCTGCTTGTTGTGACTCTATGATGTCTGCTTGTTGTGACTCTATGACGTCTGCTTGTTGCGACTCTATGACGTCTGCTTGTTGTGACTCTATGACGTCTGCTTGTTGTGACTCTATGACGTCTGCTTGTTGTGACTCTATGACGTCTGCTTGTTGTGACTCTATGATGTCTGCTTCTTGTGACTCTATGATGTCTGCTTGTTGTGACTCTATGTCTGCTTGTTGTGACTATGACGTCTGCTTGTTGTGACTATGACGTCTGCTTGTTGTGACTCTGATGTCTGCTTGTTGCGACTCTATGACGTCTGCTTGTTGCGACTCTATGATGTCTGCTTGTTGTGACTATGACGTCTGCTTGTTGTGACTCTATGATGTGTGCTTGTTGCGACTCTATGACGTCTGCTTGTTGCGACTCTATGATGTCTGCTTGTTGTGACTCTATGATGTATGCTTGTTGTGACTCTATGACGTCTGCTTGTTGTGACTCTATAATGTCTGCTTGCTGTGACTCTGACATCTGCTTGTTGCGACTCTATGATGTCTGCTTGTTGTGACTCTATGATGTATGCTTGTTGTGACTCTATGATGTCTGCTTGTTGTGACTCTATGATGTCTGCTTGTTGTGACTCTATGACGTCTGCTTGTTGTGACTCTATGACGTCTGCTTGTTGTGACTCTATGATGTATGCTTGTTGTGACTCTATGACGTCTGCTTGTTGTGACTCTACGATGTCTGCTTGTTGTGACTCTATGATGTCTGCTTGTTGTGACTCTATGACGTCTGCTTGTTGTGACTCTTTGATATCTGCTTGTTGTGACTCTATGATGTCTGTTTGTTGTGACTCTATGATGTCTGCTTGTTGTGACTCTGTGATGTCTGCTTGTTGTGAATCTATGATGTCTGTTTGTTGTGACTATGACGTCTGCTTGTTGTGACTATGATGTCTGCTTGTTGTGACTCTATGATGTCTGCTTGTTGTAACTCTATGACCTCTGCTTGTTGGGACTCTATGATGTCTGCTTGTTGTGACTCTATGGTGTCTGCTTGTTGTGACTCTATGATGCCTGCTTGTTGTGACTCTATGACGTCTGATTGTTGTGAATCTATGATGTCTGCTTGTTGTTACTCTATGACGTCTGCTTGTTGTGACTCTATGATGTCTGCTTGTTGTGAATCTATGACCTCTGCTTGTTGTGACTCTATGACCTCTGCTTGTTGTGACTCTATGATATCTTGTCTGTAATAGGGTGCTGTGTCCTGAATGGTCAAGGATCACGTTTTTGAGCAGTCCTATTTTTGTATTTTCTCTAAATGCATTTGAATAATATGAAGGACACAAAGCACAATTTTACCCTCGTGCTATCCTATGACCCTCCACAGTGATTAAAAGTAGAAGAAAAATACTCTAAATTAGGGTCTAAAAGGGTCTAAATGACATGGGGTTCAAGTTAGAAAATCATCAAAATTCAGCAGTAATACTTTATCATTGTAGCGGGTCCCTCGGATAGCACATTTGCTTCTGTAATGTATATATACAATTGACACTTTTCAGTCTTACTGCAGTATAGTTACTGCTCTGTAAGGATGTATATGAATTAGGGCTGGGACTTTAACGCGTTAATTAAGAATAACTAATTACACAAAAAATAGCGCATTTCATCGTATTTATTTTTGCACCGTGGATGGGAAAAACATTACTTCTCACTGTTCTCAGGTCAAATATTGATATGCCATTAAAATGTGATTAATTACGATTAACTAATTACAATGCCTCTAATTAATTAGATTAATTCAATCGAGTCCCAGCCCTAATATAAATGAATAAATCAAATCAAAAACTAAATTCATTCATTGCACCTCCATTCAGGCCAGCCGAGGACCTGACGCGGGAACTGCCATGCAACTCGTCCACCTCTGCCATTACCACGGGCAGCCCAGGCCACGGGAAGACCTCTGTCCAGTCCCCACTTACAGACCTGTCTCCGTCGAACAGGGCCTTGTCTAACTTCCTATACGGCATGCCCATGTCCTCCAAGGCTCACCACGACGGCAAACATGATGTCACACCTCTGTCCTTGCTCAGCCTCAGCAAAGACAGACACAGCAGATGCCCAGGAACCAAGACGATCGCTTTCAAAGACTGCGGCAGCAGCGGTAAGATTTAAAACACCTCTGGAACTCTACTCACTTCAATTCATTTTTGTATAGCCCTATTCAGATTGCTGAATTCGCCAACATAGATCAGAGAATCAAACTGTTCAAACACAAATAAATGCACTGATAAAAGAAACATAGAGCCATTGGTCCATAAGGGGAAGATGACCACTGTCCATAATCATTGATAAAGTCCATAAATGTTGTTGAATGTTGTCGGAGTTTGCTTCCGTAATGATTGCCATAGTGATTTTCATAGTAACGGTTGCCATGGTGATGGTTTCCATGGTAACGGTTGCCTTGATAACTGTTGCCATGGTGACAAATGCCATGGTAAACGTTACCATGATAGTTGCCATGGCGATGGTTGCCATAGTAACTGTTGCCATGGTAACAATGGCGACGGTTGCCATGAAGCGGTTGCCATGGTTATGGTTGCAATAGCAATGGTTGCAATGGAAACGGTTGCTATGTTCATGGTTGCCATGAAGCAACTGTCAAGTGATAGTTGCCATGGTGACTGTTGACATGGTAACGGTTGCCATGGTAACACTTGCCGTGGTGATAGTTGCCATGGTAACGTTTGCGGTGGTGATGGTTGCTATGGCAACAGTCGCCATGGGGATGGTTGCCATGGCGATGGTTTTGCATGGCACTGGTTGCCATGGCAACGGTTTCCATGGTGATGGTTGCCATGTTGATGGTTGCCATGAAGAAAGTGTAAAGTACTGTATATGATAGGATTTTTTCATCTTAATATTTAATATCAGACTGATTCCGATGATGTTTTTCTTCTCTCAGATGACGTTTCTCGACCAGGAGAACACTGCCACAGTCCGCCCAGCGTCCACATCTCCAAACGACTGCTGTTCTCCATCGTGCATGAGAAATCAGGTGACGTCATTCTTTCAATCTCCGGTGACTGTGATGACAAACGCACTGTTACTCGAAAATATCAAAGTGTTTTATTGAATGTTTTAGACAAATGGGACACTTTTCTGAAAGAAACTGAAGACATCAACACGTTACGAGAATGTGTGCAGATCCTGTTCAACAGCAGATACGGTGAGAGAAGCACCTCTGTGTGAGACGGACTTTTGTATCAGATTTAGAATTTTAAATGAACTTAAATTTAAATTTCATTTTTTACATATTTTTTTTCCTATTAAAGTTTATTTTTGAACAGTAGTAAAATGTACAATTATACAAATCAACTTATACACGACAAAGTCTCTTTTTGCCAAAGAAAACAGTTGTATATTATTTTCATAGAAAGCAAGAACAAACAAATGACAAACCAAAAGATAATAATATACAGTGACTACATCAGATATTTATTTGACCTCAGACCTGTGTGGAGCAACAGTCTCCAAGCTTCTCAATGTTTATCCAATTTGTCCAGTTCGAGTCTTTTCCATTCTGTAAATTGCATGGATGACATTGATCCAATCTTCGAGTGTAGGTGCAATATCAGACATCTCCTTAATGCTTTTCTTTACTGCAGTCAATAGTATATAGTAAATATATTTTTTCCTATGTTTTTCAAGTTGGGCTGGTTTCATACCGAGGTTTAGTGTCACAAAAGATGTGGAAAGGCAATACCCCATTTGACATTTTTAACTATGAAAAAGAATCTTTCAATATTTATAGTAATATTCATAGTAGTTTTAAAGGGGACAATGCAATTTAATAAAGCACTTAAACAGTGGGAGCGACAGTGGCTCAGTTGGTAGAGCTTTGGCCTTTGGGCCTGAAGGTTTTGGGTTCGAGCCCACCACAAGACCTACTTCACGTCTCCCACTGATGTCTGCTGTCGTTGTGTCCTTGGGCAAGACACTTAACTCCACTTTGCCTGAAGCCCCCGCTGAAAGATCAAGGCTCCTGTGGCTCTGACTGCCACCCCCTGACCCAGAAATGGATTAAGGGGAAGAAGATGGATGGATGGATGATTAAACATGAATTAATAAAAGCAAGATTTAGCCAAGGAGGTTATTTTTCATCTGTAGTCCCCTGGCCATGATTTTTAAAAGCCATTAAAATACATACAAATTAACATGACAAAAATACAAGACAAAGACAACATAAATCAATACTAACATTATAGTATTGACAGTATAATATGCAAGTTTTATGATGGTATTGTTAAGGACCACAGGTGGAAAAGACATTGAAAGAAGAAAGAAGTCCTGAATAAATTAAACCTTAAACCTTAAAAATATTGTGGTGGTGGTACTTGGTGGAATGCCTTCTTCAGGGCGAGCCTTAAAAGAGCTATACTCGTTTCTGCAAGGGTTTTTTCAGTTTGAATGTTTAGCACCGCCCTCAACTCGCTCAGAGGTCTCTCATTTTCCCTACGCTCTCCTCCCACAAAGCAATCTAGTTTTATTTGCAAACTGATACGTATGCAAACATTAGCATTGTTGTAAGCTGTACAACAATCACTGAGGAAATGGTGCAAAAGAAACGCACTTCTAGCAAAATATATAACTGAAAGATTACCTCTTGTTTCACGTCCAAATGTAGTCCGATCATAGATAGTCCGAGCGTAGATAGTCCGAGCGTAGATAGTCCGAGCGTAGATAGTCCGAGCGTAGATAGTCCGATCATAGATAGTCCGAGCCTAGATAGTCCGAGCGTAGATAGTCCGAGCGTCGTAGATAGTCCGAGCGTAGATAGTCCGAGCGTAGATACTCCGATCGTAGATAGTCCGAGCGTAGATAGTCCGAGCGTAGATAGTCCGAGCGTAGATAGTCCGAGCGTAGATAGTCCGAGCGTAGATAGTCCGATCGTAGATAGTCCGAGCCTAGATAGTCCGAGCGTAGATAGTCCGAGCGTCGTAGATAGTCCGAGCGTAGATAGTCCGAGCGTCGTAGATAGTCCGAGCGTCGTAGATAGTCCGAGCGTCGTAGATAGTCCGAGCGTCGCAGATAGTCCGAGCGTAGATAGTCCGAGCGTCGTAGATAGTCCGAGCGTCGTAGATAGTCCGAGCGTAGATAGTCCGAGCGTCGTAGATAGTCCGAGCGTAGATGGTCCGAGCGTAGATAGTCCGAGCGTCGTAGATAGTCCGAGCGTCGTAGATAGTCCGAGCGTAGATAGGCCGAGCGTAGATAGTCCGAGCGTAGATAGTCCGAGCGTAGATATGTCCCAGCGTAGATAGTCCGAGCGTAGATAGTCCGAGCGTAGATAGTCCGAGCGTCGTAGATAGTCCGAGCGCCGTAGATAGTCCGAGCGTCGTAGATAGTCCGAGCGTCGTAGATAGTCCGAGCGTCGTAGATAGTCCGAGCGTAGATAGGCCGAGCGTAGATAGTCCGAGCGTAGATAGGCCGAGCGTAGATAGTCCGAGCGTAGATAGGCCGAGCGTAGATAGGCCGAGCGTAGATAGTCCGAGCGTAGATAGTCCGAGCGTAGATAGTCCGAGCGTAGATAGTCTGAGCGTAGATAGTCTGAGCGTAGATAGTCTGAGCGTAGATAGTCTGAGCGTAGATAGTCTGAGCGTAGATAGTCCGAGCGTAGATAGTCCGAGCGTAGATAGTCCGAGCGTAGATAGTCGGAGCGTAGAGAGTCCGAGCGTAGATAGTCCGAGCATAGATAGCCCGAGGCAGTCCCGCTCCCGCAAGCCTCCCGCAGGCCATAGATGGTATGTCTCTCCAGAGGATACTATGTAAGCCAACTCTACGTATATTCACCCGGGCTTGATTTCTTCTTTGATCATTTTTTCGCTCCTCATCGTTGTGTGGTTTGGGCTGTTTTGCTGTGTCTGCAGTTACAGCCAGAGGAAGTATAGCCGCTTTCTGCTAACATGGTACTGTGTTTAGCAGGACACAGCCTCGTTCTGTGATTGGAGGAGAACAAGCGTCAGTTTCTACTCAGCACTTTTTACAGCCTGAATTCATGCACAAGCTGAATCAATGAGTTCAAGCTTCCAATTAAATCACGGATTTTAATACAACTTGTGTGTAGTAATACGCATTTTTATGAACTCATTAGAAAATAAATCGGCTATAGCTTCTTTAAAAACTGAAATTAAGTCGTTGTAGTTACTGTTGTCCATGAATGTGAAAGTGTTTAATTTCTGGTTTCAGCTGAGGCTCTGGGCTTGGATCACATGGTCCCCGTTCCCTACCGTAAAATTGCCTCTGACCCGGGAGCCGTGGAGATCGTTGGTATCCCTGACCAGATCACTTTCAAGAGGCCGTGCACTTACGGAGTCCCCAAACTGAAGCGTATACTGGACGAACGCCACGGAATCCGATTCATTGTGAAACGGTGAATATCCCATGTTTGGTCTTGTATTGAAACAAGTAGAGTACGTGGTCATCATCAAGATCCTGTTCACATGAGTCGTGTGAGTTTGGTTTATTGTAAGTTACACAGCAGGAACCCAAGTGTATTCAAGCCCAAGAGCATAGTGGAGTGTAAAAGAGCAGTGGTTCTCAAAGGGGAGGAGGTCTGTCTGTGTCTCCGTCTCTGCCTCTGTCTCTGCCTCTGTCTCTGCCTCTGTCTCTGCCTCTGCCTCTGTCTCTGCCTCTGTCTCTACCTCTGTCTCTGTCTCTGCCTCTGCCTCTGTCTCTGCCTCTGTCTCTGCCTCTGTCTCTGCCTCTGCCTCTGCCTCTGTCTCTGCCTCAGTCTCTGTCTCTGCCTCTGCCTCTGCCTCTGTCTCTGTCTCTGTCTCTGCCTCTGCCTCTGTCTCTGCCTCTGCCTCTGTCTCTGTCTCTGCCTCTGTCTCTGTCTCTGTCTCTGCCTCTGTCTCTGCCTCTGTCTCTGCCTCTGTCTCTGCCTCTGACTCTGTCTCTGCCTCTGTCTCTGCCTCTGTCTCTGCCTCAGTCTCTGTCTCTGCCTCTGCCTCTGCCTCTGCCTCTGCCTCTGCCTCTGTCTCTGTCTCTGCCTCTGCCTCTGCCTCTGTCTCTGTCTCTGTCTCTCTCTCTGCCTCTGTCTCTGCCTCTGCCTCTGCTCTCTCTCTCTCTGTCTCTGCCTCTGTCTCTGCCTCTGCCTCTGCCTCTGTCTCTGTCTCTGCCTCTGCCTCTGCCTCTGCCTCTGCCTCTCTCTCTCTGTCTCTCTCTGTCTCTGCCTCTGTCTCTGCCTCTGTCTCTGCCTCAGTCTCTGTCTCTGTCTCTGCCTCTGCCTCTGCCTCTGCCTCTGCCTCTGCCTCTGTCTCTGTCTCTGCATCTGCCTCTGTCTCTCTCTCTGTCTCTGCCTCTGCCTCTGCCTCTCTCTCTCTCTCTCTCTCTGTCTCTGCCTCTGTCTCTGTCTCTGTCTCTGTCTCTGTCTCTGCCTCTGTCTCTGCCTCTGTCTCTGTCTCTGTCTCTGCCTCGGTCTCTGCCTCAGTCTCTGCCTCTGCCTCTGTCTCTGCCTCTGCCTCTGTCTCTGCCTCAGTCTCTGCCTCTGCCTCTGTCTCTGTCTCTGTCTCTCTCTCTGCCTCTGTCTCTGTCTCTGCCTCTGCCTCTGCCTCTGCCTCTGCCTCTGTCTCTGTCTCTGCCTCTGCCTCTGCCTCTGCCTCTCTCTCTCTGTCTCTCTCTGTCTCTGCCTCTGTCTCTCTCTGTCTCTGCCTCTGTCTCTCTCTGTCTCTGCCTCTGTCTCTGCCTCAGTCTCTGCCTCAGTCTCTGCCTCAGTCTCTGCCTCAGTCTCTGCCTCAGTCTCTGCCTCAGTCTCTGCCTCAGTCTCTGCCTCTGTCTCTGCCTCTGCCTCTGTCTCTGCCTCTGCCTCTGCCTCTCTCTCTCTGCCTCTACCTCTGTCTCTGCCTCTGCCTCTGCCTCTCTCTCTCTCTCTCTCTCTCTCTGTCTCTGCCTCTGCCTCTGTCTCTGCCTCAAACATTGAGATGGTATTGTAGTATTTATATGAAACCACTGAACATATGTTTACATGACACACTCTTGGCCCCTCCTCTTCAGAGAGAGCAGCCAGAGCATCATCTTCGTCCTTGCAGTTTGTCTTTTCCATTTTCTCAACACTTGAGAACAAAAACAAATGTGAATAAAAAACCATAAGGTCCCACGATCAATCCTCCAGAGATGATGTATCATTTTTTATTTAACACGTATTGATATAATGTTATGTTTGTATCGAGTTCTTTTCAAACTGCTTTCTCTTTGTTCCCTAGAATGTTTGACGACCGGATCTTTACAGGTAAACTTCCACACTCAACACACATTTAAGTGTTTTGCTCCCATTTTCCTAAGTATTCGACTAAAGTTAATGATCTAAAACATGAATATATCCAAAATACATTAATATACCAAAATAAATGTTCTCTTCATTTCCCCTTTCATGAGATAATCCATCCCATCTCACTGGTGTGGCAGTATGATTCTTATAGACAAAAGTTTTGAGCGATCCACCTGGAATTCACTGTTCATTTCTCCATAAGGCAATGTGTATAGCACAGTTCATACACAAGGCAACTCAAAGTGCTGAACAAAACAAGACAGAAACAATCACACAAGACATTAAAATCATAAATAATCACAGTACGTAAGAAAAGAGTGACGATAAAATCCCAGCGAAGCACAACTATTTTTAACTTGGATTTGAACATTACCAGAGAAGCCTGTCTCACATTTTCAGGAAGACTGTCCCAGCAGGAGGCCAGTCCCTGTGCTCCTCAGAGTCCCAGCAGGAGGCCAGTCCCTGTGCTCCTCAGAGTCCCAGCAGGAGGCCAGTCCCTGTGCTCCTCAGAGTCCCAGCAGGAGGCCAGTCCCTGTGCTCCTCAGAGTCCCAGCAGGAGGCCAGTCCCTGTGCTCCTCAGAGTCCCAGCAGGAGGCCAGTCCCTGTGCTCCTTAGAGTCCCAGCAGGAGGCCCGGACTATGAGGCCATGGAGAGACTTGAACAGAGCTGCTTTAAAGTCTATTCTCTGAGCCACAGGTGAGGAGACCTGAGACCAGGACTAATGTGATGGTATTTCCTGGTTCTAGTGAGGACTGGAAGTTTGGAAGTTCCAATGAGCATACGCAGCAGTAGATTACGTCACAGAATCTGGACGGAAGCGGAAGTAAATATAAAAAAACGACCTATTCATGCCTAAACTTAACCAGCCATTCGCATAAAATAACCCCAACCCAGCCTTAACCCTAAACTTAACCATCTTAATAAGACGCCTAAAACTTAACCAGTCACCACTTAAGGACTTATTACACTTCTTGACATGCGCAAATTGAACTTCCGGACGAATCTGTTTTCCGGATGAATCCGGGAGTGACAAGGACTAATGTGACGGTACTTCCTGGTTCTAGTCAGGACTAATGTGACGGTACTTCCTGGTTCTAGTCAAAGCCGTTACAGTCTTGCCTCCCATTTGCAGACCCCGTTTCACCTGACCAGTCCTGGACCTCCACATCCTGCGCAGTTTTACTTCTTAGATTTATTCAATGTTAAAAGATCGTCAGAAAAATGGGAGCAAAATCCAAAGTGTTGTTTTCATATTTTTGTTCAGTGCTTTCTCATATTATTCGTGAAGGAGATCAAAGAAAAACTGCTTTAAACTTTACATCTTTTCCTAATTCAGCCGGAGGCAAGATCAGCAGAGAGGATGCGAAGCACGACCTGGAGCCCACGTCTGACGAGGGCTTTTCTGATCAGTTACCTGCTGCGACTGTGGCTGAGCTGATGAGCCATCCACAGAGCAGGTCACCACCCACATTACAGCTGCATTTTATTATTCATGTATTTATTTAATATGGACATAACAATAACATTGGACGGACCAGATGCATTGCTGTAAATGTTATTGCACAGGTGCTAATTTTCAACACTAGTCCACAGGGGTTTTACAGGGCAGAAGATAAAATACATTTTAAAGAATTATAATATAATTTACACGTGAGAACAAGTCTGTCTGGATCTAAACCACTGTTCTGCTGAAGATGGTCATGTTAGTCTGTAGTTTTAGCCCAGTAGGGAGAGAGTTGCCAGTCTTCCATTTTGCTATTCTTGTGTTTCATATGACGTCAGGCCTAACAAACGTAGGACAGGACGTGACGTACCCTGGCGGTGCAGTCTGCCGGGTTTTTAAACCGAGATAGAGTAGAAGGTTAGGTTAGGTTCTTCTTATTCATCTCATGAAAATGCCGGACGGCACGGTGGCTGAGTGGATAGCACTCTCGCCTCTCAGCAAGAAGGTCCTGGGTTCGAATCCGGGTTGGACCTTTCTGAGTGGAGTTTGCATGTTCTCCCCGTGTCTGTGTAGGTTTCCTCCGGGTGCTCCGGTTTCCCCTACCACTAAAAATATGTACAATAGGTCTGGCATGTGCCTCCTGTACTGGCGACCCCACCCAACAATTGTAAACCGCTTTGAGACTCCGATGTGCAGTGAAAAGGCGGTATATAAATAAATACTTACTTACTTACTACTTACTGTTATACGTATAGTTATATAAGTTTCAAATCATTCAAACAAACCATTTAAACAAATCATTTAAACATTTCCATGATCAGAAAGGAGCAGATAGAAGAATATAATTCTTATATTTTTCTTTTTTGTTGTTGATTCCTCTGCCTTCTTTATCAGAACATACAATATATATATATATACACACACACACACACACACACACACACACACACACACACACACACACACACACACACACACACACACACACACACACACACACACACACACACACATACATAGATACACATATACATATACAGACATGCACATATATGCACATACATACTGCACATATACATTTCATATTAAACATAACACATAATTAAACATCACTTTAGTAGAAGAAGAAGCTCTGTCAAAATGCCATCTTTTTGTGCGGTGAACGCTTGTAGCAACCGCACAAACAGAGAGAAACACAAGAGTTTGTTCATGTTCCAACTTTGGTCTCATATAAAGGAGAACACTTTGAAAAAAATATTTTTTAGTACTCCCTCAGAATTCTTATTCCGGGTCAACCCCCATCGGCCCGGGGTGGTATTGCAGCATGTCAGCGCACATCATTTTGGCCCCCACTGGTTGTCCCACCTCTGCTCATTTGCCCCCTACAGGCCAGGCTAATGAAACCCAAGAATTTCTACAATAATTCAGTACATGCATTGCAACTTGGTCCATGTTCTTTAAATTTGTACCTTAATTAATTTCTCTGTTAAATTACATTGCGTTTTGCTACAATATTTTAATGTTTTTCCCTAAACTTTCCAGATCAACAAGTGAATGTGTCAGTCCGTTGATGGAGTGTGAAAGTGGTGAGTCCCACGAACACATTTATAATACATTAAATTATACAAAATATCAAGTTGTTTTTATCTTAAAGGTGCAGTAAGTGGTTTTGTTAGCTTAGCCGTAGCACCAACTGGAAACCACTCCCCCCTCCCCTCGCCTCTCCATCAAACCACTCCCCCCCTCCACAGAACCACTCCCCCCCTCCCTCTCTACAAAACCACTCCCCCCGTCCACCAAACCACTCCCCCCTCCTCTCCCTCTCTACAAAACCACTCCCCCCCCCCCCTCGCCCTTCCACCAAACCACTCCCCCATCTCCACCAAACCACTCCCCCCTCTCCTTCCTTCTCCACCAAACCACTCCTCCCTCCCCTCCCCTCAATTGTGCTCAAATTAAGATCAATATTTACCCAATTTGCGCCATTTTTGTTGTATTTTTCATCACTTTTTGCAGTGATGATATAATGTTAGTGTCCCGATGACCCCAAACCCTATTATCTTTGACTCTGTGTTCGCAGGTTACACAGTAGACAGTATTTCTTTGAAGAGGATTAAATCGGAGCCACCGGACAGTATCGTTCTGCAGGTCACAGCACACGGTCAGTACTTCTCTTTGCCGCACACAAGAATCTGACCTTTTCTACCAAACTGTAACCAGACCTTTCGTTTAAACTGTGCAGAAGCCAGCAGCAGTATGGAGGACAGCACCGAGTCTTTGGAGACCGCCTTCTGTCTCACAGTTCCTCCCCCCCTCCCCCATGCCCCTCCTCCTCCTCTTCCTCCTCCCCCCTGTCCGCCGGAGAACCACACGGGTAACTCTGGGCCCGGTGAGAATGGACTTTCAGTAGAATCTCCCTCGTTCCTCCTTAAAGACAATCCCTCGGCCGCAGGCTCAGGTTCATTTATGCTCCGTCATGGTGCATTCTGTATTGGTCCCACAGTCGGGAAATGTCAGTGTTGCATCGTCAGTATCAGAAGAGTAGGAATGAGGAGCAGACAGCATAAGATACATGAGCAATACACTGCAAAAGGTGATAGAAAATAAGTCTAAAAATGCTCAAATTTGCCAAATGTGTTTTAATTTGAGCACATTCTGACTTCCTTAAAACAAGATTTGCCAACGGGACGAAGCAAAATAATCTGGTTTTAAAAAGAAACAAAAAATGTCTCCCTTGGAATGAGAAAATAATGCTTGGAATTAGACTAAATGGCATTGTCCCACTGGCGAATCTACAGATTAGGATAAAAACCACTTGATTCAAGCATTTATTTCCACATATTTTATAATTTTTTGCAGTGTAACTATACAAAAATAAAATCTCCGGATTCTTCTTTAGCACGTAACGCACAACAATAGGAGGCGACCGGGAGGTCACGTGAGGCTCCTGGATGCCTCAAAAAGCGGCTTCCGATTACTCTCACTCTCTCTCACCTGGCTTCTGGGCACCTGCCGGCGTGCCCAGACTGCCTGCTTGGGTCCTGACTCACCAGCCACAACGCCACGCCAATCTATTCTACATTTACACTACACCACAACACGACATTTGCTCTACACAAGGTTATCTTACTGACTTCCACACGTAACACCCGGCACCCACACAGCATACAATTCACCTGCACTGATCTCATGCAGATTACTTAATTTTTTGTCATAATAAAAGCCCCAGGAGGGTTTTAAACTGCTCCAGTTGTCGCGTCCTCCCTCTTTTGTTGCGGTGCCATGAGCCAGGCCTGTAACACAAGGGAAGACACACGGGTTAACACATTACAAAATAAAACAGGAAATAAACCTGAAACATGACAGTACCAAAGCTACCACCAGAGGGCACTGTCTGGTTCTTTATAAATATAAATATTGACAGGACGTCTCAAAGTTCAAAAAATTAGTTGGTTTTATATATATATATATATAGGTTATTTATATAAGTTCAAGTCAAATACACACAGTTCAGTGTCTACAGTGAGGAGCATAAATGAGCCTGGATCCTGCTGTTATTACATGTGTCTGTTTTTTAACCCTTTAAGTGCCAGCATTTTTTTGATTTTTTTTTTGTGAGATAGACAAAATGTGACGCATGTAACTCATAAAGAGATGGTGGACTATTTTAATCAATGACAGAAATACATACAAGAAAATTATGTAAGAAAAATGTAGGGAGACATTTGTGGGAAGCCAAGTCTCTGTATAGATAGTGCCCTGGAGAGCGTGTAGCTGCTGCTTTGGCGCTTGAAGGGTTAAGATACTTGCTCCTGATGAATGTATCCGCTGTAGCCCCTCCCCCTCATGAAACCTGCAGGATTCTTAAGGAAATGTAGCAATGTTTAGAAATGTCAGTGACCTTTTTTATAGAGAAATGTTTTATCTAATTTTATCGTTTACAGACATATTCTAAAAATATCAGTCAATCTCATAATTGTTGATGATGCAGTAGTTAAAATAAAAAATAAAAATAGATAGGAGGCATTGGTCCGTAGGGAGCGAAATAACCAATGTCCAGAAATGTTTTTAAATGTCCCAGATCATCACTGTCCTTAGACCCTGAGACATTTCTGTGAGGCCCACATCGAGAAAGGGATCTGCTCCAACAGAAGGATTGAGGCTGTAGACCCAGGACTGAGGCTGTAGACCCAGGACTGAGGCTGTAGACCCAGGACTGAGGCTGTAGACCCAGGACTGAGGCTGTAGACCCAGGACTGAGGCGGTAGACCCAGGACTGAGGCTGTAGACCCAGGACTGAGGCTGTACCCAGGACTGAGGCTGTAGACCCAGGACTGAGGCTGTAGATCCAGGACTGAGGCTGTAGACCCAGGACTGAGGCTGTAGACCCAGGACTGAGGCTGTAGATCCAGGACTGAGGCTGTAGACCCAGGACTGAGGCTGTAGATCCAGGACTGAGGCTGTAGATCCAGGACTGAGGCTGTAGACCCAGGACTGAGGCTGTAGATCCAGGACTGAGGCTGTAGATCCAGGACTGAGGCTGTACCCAGGACTGAGGCTGTAGACCCATGGACTCATTTAGTTTTTTTCCCATTGGAAAATTTTGTTCTAAGACAGTCAGAAAATTCTCAAATTTAGCAATTATCAAGCAATTTCTTACTTTTTTTTCACTTTTTGCAGTGAAGGCTTACGAAGTGAAGAGAATTGAACCAGTCTTGGCCTCCACATTAAAACAGTCAAAAAGACCCACGTCGGTTTAGCAATGGCCGTTCATCGCCGCTTGCTGCTATAATTTTTAGAATGTGTCTATAATGATTAAAAAGCATATGTCACGGGTCTTCAACTCAGCCCTCTAAGGTTTGTTGTGGCTGCAGTTTCCAACCCGAAGACCCGAGGAAATGGGTGGAGTCTGTTGAGCTCCTGCTTGGTTGGAGTGAAAACCTGCAGCCGCACAGCCCTTTGAGGACCGAGCTGAAATCCCGTGACATAGATGAACCCAGACCATAGCCATATTTCATTGTTATTCTTCATTTTGTTAATTTCTTCTATTATTTTCTTTAAGTTTTCTTTTTTTCACAAATGACCACAAAGGGAATGGCTCAGTGGTAAGTGCGGCCGTTGTTTTTCTTAGTTGTTTTAGTGAAATAAACTGATGATGCGTAACTTATCTGCAGTATTTCCATGTTTTTGATGTTGTTTGTTGTTGTTTTAGGTAAAGACCCGTCTCCGAACACTGTCCCCGGAGTCCGACACTTATCTGAAGGTAATCTTAAAAATAATAATAAAATAATCTGTCATCATTAAAGAGCCCTAATCTGTCATCATTAAAGAGCCCTAATCTGTCATCATTAAAGGGCCCTAATCTGTCATCATTAAAGAGCCCCAATCTGTCATCATTAAAGGGCCCTAATCTGTCATCATTAAAGAGCCCTAATCTGTCATCATTAAAGAGCCCTAATCTGTCATCATTAAAGGGCCCTAATATGTCATCATTGAAGAGCCCTAATCTGTCATCATTAAAGGGCCCTAATCTGTCATCATTAAAGGGCCCTAATCTGTCATCATTAAAGGGCCTTAATCTGTCATCATTAAAGGGCCTTAATCTGTCATCATTAAAGGGCCCTGTCATCATTAAAGGGCCCTAATCTGTCGTCATTATAGGGCCCTGTCATCATTAAAGGGCCCTAATCTGTCATCATTAACGGGCCCTAATCTGTCATCATTAAAGGGCCATAATCTGTCATCATTATAGAGCCCTAATCTAATATAATCTGTTCCAACACTTATTTAACTGAAAACAGTAGTTCAGAGATATTTGAATTTCTAAATTAGTTTTAAATCTCCTAAATCTTGTTATTGTTTTGATTTCGATGTCCCGCCCTCCACCGTTTCACCAATCAGAAGGTCTGTGATCCGGGCGCCAGAACTAGGGATGTAAATCGGTGACCGTTTAACCAGTGGTTGACTGTCACGGCACTAACCGGTCAAAGCTGTCGGTTAAAAAAATGAAAAAGGTGACAGGGGAGGTCTCTTAATAACTATTTTAAGCCCTATTTGCACGGGGGGGGGGGCGGGCGGGTCCGTCTCTAGCTGTGTGCGCCCATGTATCAGTAAACTCCGGGCCGACTTTCATGCTGCACGTGCCACACACGCACACACATTCCCCCCCTTCATTGATACGTAACATCCACACGCATCATCTCTCCCCTCTGTTACCGCCTGCTAGTTGCACACTGGTGCGGGTCAGAACTACATTGGAGCTTACATTTACACACACACACACACATACATGTATTGTACACACACACACATACCGGTCTGTCGCGCTCCTCTGTGTCACGGAGCCCAAAGGATCCACGCAAATATTTGGCTCCAGTCAAACCACATGGGACATGTTTGTGTTTATGGTCCTTGGCATCAGCTCCACACACATCACTTTTAAACTTTAGCGGAGACATGCGAGACGCGGCTCGTCACTCGCTGCCCTGACCATGTGAACGAGCCGTCGTTTGCTGCTAAAATGTTTTGGTTTTAACCCGCAGCACAGAATGGGAAGATTAAAAAAGCAGTTCTCTGTGCGCAAAGGTGCCGAAGCTGTTGCGGGTTTTGGCGCCGCTGTCTCGGCTCTGATCCAGTAGAACGCAGAGCTGCACTTATGAGAAGTACGCGGCTCAAAATGGCTGTTATTTCAAAGAACGTGGAATATTTTAAACTACAAGGTTAACCGGTTTCAACCGAGGCTCGTGGTCGGTCAAGAAAATTCATAGTTTTTTACATCCCTAGTAGGGCTGGGCGATATAAACGGTATAAGCGGTATGCAATATAAATTTGGCCCACGGTAGAGATTTTTGTTATACCGCCATATTGCAATAGGTCATTATGTCATCAAATTGCGCAGGCTCTGACGCCAGCAGAAAGGATCAAAACAAACCGGCACTCAGCAGCATTAGCCTAGCACTATTAGCCTAGCAGACACCACTGGAAACAACGAACAACAGCACGGCATTAACACCGTGTTTCTGTCTATGTATTGTTGTCACAGCGGCCCCAGCAGAGGTAAATACACACACAGTAATCACAGTTTAAGCGTCTACCTTTAGGCCACTCAGTGTCAAAGGGGCGTAGGCTCGAAGCGCCAGTGTGAGCCAAAATAGATCCATGCGTGTGCCGTGTCTGCAGCATCAAAGCAGAAGTTTGCGAAAGTTAGCGTCAGATTCGGACCTCCGCGGTCAATATCTCACGAAAGCTACTTTGTTAAACAACATTAATTGTGCCAAAATGATTATTTACATAAATTGTTCAAATCCAAAATGCTGTTTTAATGAACATAAATCCATTGAATCATCCAGTTCACTGCAAGTGCAGAGAAAAGCGCTTAGGGAGCATCAACAAATGTCAAGACCAGCTTTGTAAATGAACAATAGCTTTTACTGAAGTCATGTCCCTGCACAAAACTCTCAGACACTATAAATAATGACCATGTCTAACAGCTCCAGGCTTTGATTTCAACATTTGTGAGTTTTTTATATTTTAAATGAATGCATATGTTTTTCTTTTTAAAAATTGCTTTTACAGTGAATGGTATTTACTGTAACATACATAAATAATGTATGTTACAGCATTTGTCTCTTTATTCGTCTCACAACTGATTTTGTAACTCAAAAAATATATATATTAGATTCTAAAATATAAATAAGTAACAATCTTGACTATTTTATGCAAGAACCTGCTAGACCTATATTTAAATTCACACACCAAATTATACCGCAATATATACCGTCTACCGTCTGTGTCCCAAATTATACCGCAATATGAATTTTAGGCCATATCGCCCACCCCTAATCCCTAGCCAGATTCTCAAATCAATAATGTCAAAACAAGGAATAAAATGAGGATTTCTATCTTTGTGAAAAAGGTGTTGGTTAAAGATTTGTTGTTGACCGAAAACTATATCTGGCAACCTGAGTCAGGGAGAGTGGGAGAGGCTGCAGTACCACTTTTGGCCACATTTTTACATATTGCTGCTTTAATACAGATGAGTGGAGCTGTATCTGTTTCATCTGAATGGAAAATGTTTATAAAAATCAAGTTTTTATAAATTGCAGAACATTTAGATTGTTCTCTTCCAGCTGGAACTTCAGAGGAAGACTTTAGTGAGATGATTCTTCAGCTCCGGAGACAAGTGGACTGTCTTTTTAGCACAAAGTACGGTGAGTCACCAGAGCCAAAGTTACAAAACAGTATGACAGACGATATGTTATGGGCTGTAGACCCAGGACTGAGGATCTAGACCCAGGACTGAGGATCTAGACCCAGGACTGAGGATCTAGACCCAGGACTGAGGATCTAGACCCAGTAATGAGGCTGTAGGCCCAGGACTGAGGCTGTAGATCCAGGACTGAGGCTGTAGACTCAGGACTGAGGCTGTAGGCCCAGGACTGAGGCTGTAGGCCCAGGACTGAGGCTGTAGACCCAGGACTGGGGCTGCAGGTCCAGGACTGAGGCTGCAGGTCCAGGACTGAGGCTGCAGGTCCAGGACTGAGGCTGTAGACCCAGGACTGAGGCTGTAGACCCAGGACTGAGGCTGTAGACCCAGGACTGAGGCTGTAGACCTAGGACTGAGGCTGTAAACCTAAAGTGTGTTTCCTTCCCGCAGCTGAGGCCCTGGGTCTGCGGCAACCGTGTAAAGTCCCGTACTCCAAGTTCCAGATGTACCCAGAGGAGCTGTACGTCACGGGGCTGCCCCACGGGATCTCTCTACGGAGACCCAACTGCTTCGGAGTGGCCAAGCTGAAGAAGATTCTGGACGTTGGCGCCGACATCCAGTTCGTCATCAAAAGGTGACGGGGCAGAAGCAAAGTAAATCTGAGTAAATAACCACGGATTGAGACAGACTTTCTGATCCTCACAGGTCTGAGCTGCTGACGGAACAAGTCAAGTCAGAGCCCATCCCAGACTCAGGTATTTGTAATGTTTTTAATGTTCTTTATGAGTCAATATGTGACTGTTTAACATTATACACAAGCCCTGTTTCCACCAGCCCTACTCTACTCTACTCTACCCTTCCCTACCCTACCCCACCCCCTACACTACACTTCTCTACTCTAAATATATATTTTTCCCCTCAGATCACGATGTAACGAATACCACTGCCTGTGAGGATGCTGCTTACACGACGAGGCCCGGCTTCTCTGGTACTTAATTACCTTTAAAATAATGTATAACATGCCATGGCAGGCCATATGAATCCCTCACTCGCAATGCCTGCAAGTCATCACAGTCTCACATTTTCAGGAATAAAATGTATACAGATTTAAGCTGTATACATCTGAAATGCCTCCTCATGTTTAGTCCTGACTCTGGGACCAGCAGGTGGCCAGTCCCTGTGGTCCTCAGAGTCCCAGCAGGAGGCCAGTCCCTTTGCTCCTCGTAGTCCCAGCAGGAGGCCAGTCCCTATGCTCCTCAGAGTCCCAGCAGGAGGCCAGTCCCTGTGCTCCTCAGAGTTGGTTTATATGTCTCTAACATGTCACAGATGGACTTTGAGGCCATGGAGAGACTTGTGACAAACAGAGCTGCTTTAAAGTCTATTCTCTGAGCCACAGGTGCAGAGACCTGAGACCAGGACTAATGTGATGGTACCTCCTGGTTCTAGTGAGGACTAATGTGATGGTACCTTCTGGTTCTAGTGAGGACTAATGTGATGGTACCTCCTGGTTCTAGTGAGGACTAATGTGATGGTACCTCCTGGTTCTAGTGAGGACTAATGTGATGGTACCTCCTGGTTCTAGTCAGGACTAATGTGATGGTACTTCCTGGTTCTAGTCAGGACTAATGCAATGGTACTTCCTGGTTCTAGTCAGGACTCCGGCTGTGGTGTTTTGAATGTGGAGACAAAAGCAGGAAGAATCTCTAAATGTGATATGTGTCTTTTGCAGAGTGCCTAGAATCTAAACTGTCCCGGATCGACTTGGCCAACACTCTTCGAGAACAGGTCCAGGATCTGTTCAACCGAAAGTACGGGGAGGCGTTAGGCATCAAGTACCCCGTTCAAGTGCCTTACAAGCGGATCAAGAACAACCCCGACTCCATCATCATCGAGGGCCTGCCTCCGGGGATCCCCTTCCGGAAACCCTGCACGTTCGGCTCCCAGAACCTTGAACGGATTCTGGCTGTGGCCGATAAGATCAACTTCACCGTCACCAAGTATGTTTTGTATTTTCTGCCAGTGGTCGGGAAAAATTGTATTCTGTTCAGTATTGCAATATTTTGCACACGCAGTTAAATCAATACAGTATTTTTATTTTTTTTTGATGATTATCTGAAAAAAAAAGAAAAAAAAAAATATTTAATGATTATCTGTTTCTCTGAGTTTACTCTGAGGTTTATGTTTTTCCATGATGTCTGCTTTGTGCGACTCTAGTCTGTTGTATTTGAATAATGCAAGGCCCCGTTTAGACAGACGCTTTAAAGATATGAGCAAAAACGTCCAGGCTCCTTATTTGAAGTGCACAGCGTCTACACAATAACGTAGTAATAAAGTAGTTCTAGCGCCCGGCCAGTAGGGGGCAGTGGAACTTCTCAACACAACACCTGAAACGCCGTCTCTGTGTAAACTAAAGGCCAGTCCGATTCCCAACTCTAACGTTTTACTGTTGCAGTGTCCTCCTGTAAACGGTGCATAAGCGATGTGCTGGGAGCTCACCGTTCATGTGTCGTCTTCAGAGAATAATCATGTCACATTTGTTATGGTCTGCTCTTCAGTTCATGTGCAGACAATAACAAATGTCACATTTGAGTTGAGTCTTATTTCCTCCATTTTAGTTATACCTTTGAATAATATGAGGGCTTTGAATCACAATATATAAGTCAGAATGGAATCCCAATACTTTCTGTATCGCCATATGTTAAAGAATCGCAATATTATTGAATTGTGGCTGAAATATCGCAATACTATCGAATCATCACACTTTTCCCGATTCCCACAACTGCTTTCTGCACAGTGTAGCGACTCTAGTGCCTATTGCCGCTGGAGAGGAGAAACCGGGTTCGTCTAATTGTATGACGCGCTGCTTGGCTGTCACAGAGCACACTTTGTCAGGAGTTAAGTTTGATGGCGTTTTAATGAAAAGAAACACGGAGGTGATAACATAACGTAGACGTCTTGATATTGAACGAAACAGTGAGAAAAACGAAGTTACAAAAGAAACAAAAAACAAACGAACGGTCAACTAAAACTACGGCGACCCAGCCCCCCTCTCTACTACTGATTTCATTCATAAAACAGAGGTGAGAACTAAGTAGACACCGCCCCAGTAACCACGTGACCCACCCGGCACATCATCCAATCAAACCCCAGCCCACTGTTATATTCAACTTATGGCTCCTACACAACCAGCCCCTTAATTATGACATAATTACCCATAATATTTCCACATGCATAGGAGACATAAACAAGCTAGCATGAATATTTATCACCAATAATTCATTAATGTCCATAATGCACAACAACAGTCCATCTGAAGTCTTTTGGAATAATAAGAGTCATTTCCAGTCATGTCCACACACAAAAAAATGACCGAAAAACACAAGGTCACAAAACAAAACAAAAATGTAATCCACAAAAAATTGGGTTGAGCAAAAAAAAAGTAATCCAAGAAAGTCCAAGTGCAAAACCGCGGCCTGGAACTACTCCGCCTCAGCCTCCTGCAGCAAACAGACTTTGGTGATGGGTCGATCCAGGCAGCTAGTCCGTGTTTTGATCTTCACCTGGCGGACCAGGCCTTTTCGGTCAGGGAAAGTTTGTACAACTCGTCCAATCAGCCATGAGTTCCGTGGCGCTGTATTGTCCATAATGAGAACGAGATCTCCAACTGCGAGGTTCCTCTTTGGTCCTGTCCACCTTTGACGCTCCTGAAGCTGAGGTAAATACTCCTTAACCCACCTCTTCCAGAACAAGTCAGCCATGTATTGGACCTGTTTCCACCTCCTGTTTGCATACAAGTCTGCGGTCTGGAATACTCCTGGTGGCAGTAATGGAGAGTTCTTCAGAAGCAATAGGTGATTAGGAGTTAATGCCTCAAGATCATTGACATCCATAGAGGCCTTAGTGATCGGCCGACTGTTTATTATTGCTTCAGCCTCACACAGCAAAGTGTGTAGTCCTTCCTCATCGAGGTTTTGAGTCCTCAAGGTGGAGTTCAGAACTTTGCGCACAGATCTTATGAGCCGTTCCCATGCACCTCCATGATGAGAGCCAGTGGGTGGATTAAAACTCCATTTTATTCCTCTCTGCAGCATCACATGATTAATTTGCTCCTTATTCCACTGCTCCATAGCACTTCGCAGCTCCCGCTCTGCTCCAACAAAGTTCGTGCCGTTGTCTGAACGGAGCTCTCGAACCTGTCCTCTTCTTGCCAGAAAACGTCTAAGTGCATTTATAAAAGAATCCGTATCCAGTGATGGAGCAACTTCAATGTGTATGGCTCTGATGGCCAGGCAGGTAAAAATTACACCATACCTTTTCACCATACTCCTTCTGCTCTTTACTTCAAAGGGACCGAAGTAATCTACACCCACTCGCGTGAAGGGCGGCTCATCAGGGACAACTCTCTCGTGGGGTAAGTCTGCCATCTGCTGGTGAAGTGGCAGAGCATTCAGGCGGCGACACGTAATGCATTTTGACAGCACCTTTCTTATTGCAGTACTGGCACCAATGACCCAGTATCGCTCTCTCAGCTTTGACAACATGTGGTTACAACCTGCATGTCCCACTTGATGATGTACATACTGCAGCAAGAGCTCTGTTATATGGAGACCTTTGGCCAATATAACCGGATGCTTCACCTCCACCGGCATTGACAGTTTACAGAGACGACCGCCAACTCTCAGGACTCCATCTAATAACTGTGGGCAGAGCTTACGAAGATGGCTAGTTGCTTTTACTGGCTCCCCCTTCTTCAGACTTGCCAGTTCCTCCGGAAACGTTCTCTGCTGGCAGTACGTTATAATGGCCAGTTCAGCTTTTTCCAAATCCTCCACTGAGAGTGTACGTGAGCCAGTGGTCCTCTTGAACTTTTCCATTTCTTTGTTCTCTGTGGCTTTCTGCTGCACTTCAGTGAGGTGAGATTGTGCCTGATGCAATAGTCTTCTCTTTTCCACGCAGGACAGAAGCCAACTTTTGATTCTCAATATCCATGCCACTGATGTTTTAAGGCGTGTCCAGGAGGAAAAGTATTGGATCAGATAAAACACAGGGTCTTCTGTCTGCACAGCATTTACCACAACAGTTTTCTTCACCTCGGGATCTTCAAGAGGGAGCTGTCCAAGGTCCTGAGGACAAACAGGCCACTCACTCTCCGAACATAAAAGAAAGTGAGGTCCTGAAAGCCACGTAGCGTGTTTGACAAACGCTTCGACCTTTATACCTCTGGACGCTATATCTGCTGGGTTGGTGGCAGTATCCACATACCTCCATTGAGCAGGACTGGAAGCCTTCAATATTTGTGAGACACGATTAGCCACAAACACTTTATATCTGGATGTCTCATTTTGAATGTATTTAAGGACCGATTGACTGTCTGTCCAAAATACAGATTCGACCAGTTCCATCTGCAGTTCCTTCTTCCAGAGCACATCCATTCGGCTCGCCATGGTTGCGGCAATAAGTTCCATCCTGGGAATAGTCACTGACTTAAGAGGAGCCACACGAGATTTTCCCATCACAAAAGCAGAGTGCCGTTCTGAATCAATATTTCTTGATACCAGGTAAGTGACTGTTCCATATCCGTTTTCGCTTGCATCACAAAAATGGTGCAACTGTGCTGAACAGACATCTCCAAAGTGTGGTGGTTTTAGGCACCTGTCCACTTCAAATAAGTCCAGCAGAGGGAGCTGTTGAATTAGCTTTAACCATTGCTTTGCGATTGAGTCTGGAACATGATCATCCCATCCAATTTCTCTCCTGCACAGATCTCTCATTATCCTTTTTGCAGTTAGAATCACAGGGCTGAGCATGCCGAGGGGATCGTAGATGGAGGCAATGGTCGAAAGCATTCCTCTTCTGGTAAGCGGTCTTTTCTTGATCTGGACTCTGAACTTAAACGAATCTGATTTGACTGACCATTCCACTCCCAGCACTCTCTCCACTTGCACAGCATCCAATTCCATATTCCGTATCTCCATTCCCTTTGCTCTGCGATTTTCTGGGATGACGTCTCGGACTGCTGCTCTGTTGCTCATCCACTTTGTGAGAGTAAATCCTCCTCTTGAACACAGCGAGACTAACTCATGGTGCAGCACCACAGCTTCCTCCTCAGTGGCCACAGATACGAGTAAATCGTCGACATAGAAGCAGTGATGGAGTCTTTGTGAAGTCTCTTCTGTGTAGAGATGACCGTAGTCCTCTGCACACCTTCTGAGTGCATAATTTGCACAGCTGGGCGATGACGTGGCCCCGAACAAATGTACCCTCATCCGGTACTCAGCAGGCACTTGATCCATATCACCATCTTGCCACCAGAGGAACCTTAGCAGGTCTCTGTCATCAGGAGTGACCAACACCTGGTGGAACATCGCCTCTATGTCCCCCATAATCACTACTGGTTCCTTCCTGAACCGGGTCACCACACCGATCAAGGAGCTGGTTAGGTCTGGGCCTTGTAGGAGGTGAGCATTTAACGATATGCCTTGAAAGCTCGGTCCACAATCAAACACCACTCTCAGCTTTTTCTTTGTGGGATGATAAACTCCATGGTGTGGGATATACCATACTTTGCCACTGCCACTACTCAGCTCCTTCTCTGGGACCTCATCTGCATAGCCTTTAGCCACAAGCTCTTTAATAAAGGTGTTATATTCAGTGAAAAGGGTTGCATCCTTTAGCAGCCTCCTCTTCATTTGTAACAAGCGCTGCAGGACCATCTTCTTATTATCAGGCATTTTGACTTTCATCTGCTTCAATGGCAAGCCAATCTGATAATGACCATCCACTTGTTTCACTGTATCTGTCACCTTTTCCAGGAATTTTCGATCTTCTCTTGACAAAGCTGGCATTTCCTCTATGGTGCTTTCTGGGAAATCATTTTTGAATTGCTGCTGCCACAGCTCGTCCAGATTAACTACGGAAATTCTGTTTACAGTTGTTTCTGGCCGACTGCAGGCAACGGTCTCTCTGCTGCCAGCACCAAGCGGTCCATTGACAGTCCATCCCAGCATCGTCCGTATAGCGAATGGTCCTCCATTTACGCTGCACACCACATCCAGTGGCTCCAGGGCTCTTGGTACATTTGTCCCAATCAGGAGCTCTATACCTGCATCAATTGCAGGTAAGTGGACATGCTTCAGGTGAGGCCATTTTTTAATATCCCCTTTAGTGGGAATATTTCCCTTGTACACTGGCATGGATTCCTGTGTGTAGACCATTGGCAGTTCCAGAAACTCTTCTCCCTCCAGAGCAGCAACTTCGAGGCCAGACACCATGTTGCTTTTCACGACTTTCTCCTGTCCCATTGTGCGGAGAAGTATATTTCCTTTTCTTCCGGTCAAGTTGAGCTTATTCATCAAGGACTCCGTACAAAACACTGCGGTGCTCCCTTGGTCTAGAAATGCATAAGTTGTGACCGTTTTGCTTCCTTTCTTTGATTTAACTTGAACAGGTACGATGGGCAGCTTACAATCTTGATCCCCAGCCCCTGTAAGGCCACTCGATATTAGAGTATTGGCTACGGAGGCCACTTCGTTCCTTTCAGTCTGCGTGGCACCATGAACAGATTCTTTGTGGAGAATAGTGGGATGTTTAAGGCTACACTTTGCACAGGAAATCCGTTTGCGGCAGTGCTTGCTCATATGTCCTGTACACAAACAACTGAAGCAGATCCCCCTTTCCTTTAGAAAATACATTTTCTTCTCGTGCGCCATTCTTCCCAACTTCATACACATATCCAGTGCATGTCCTGCTCCACAATAAAAACATTTATTTCTTTCAGGTGCCTTCACATAGTTGTTAGTCTGTTCTGTAGGACCCACTGTTGTGGCGAAACTGGCTCCTTTAAGGCGAGGTATTGACTTTGATTTACTCGTTATTATGGGTGGGTCTTGAATGCTGCCAAAGACCGGATCAGTTAATATTTTTATTTGTCTTTCAATTAAATCCACAATGTCACTGAATTTTGCTCTCCTTTTCTGACGTTCTTGCAAATCACAAGCTTGGCTTCTCCATTTATCTCTAAGCTTATAGGGAAGTTTTCTTATTATGTTCATCATATTGGAGGGCATGTCCAAATCATGTAGGTATTGCACATCCTCCATAGCATTGCAACAGCCTCGGAGAAACAGACAATAATCCTGTAGTGCTCTCACATCTTCATTCTTAATGTTGGGCCAGGAGAGGGCTTTATCCATGTAGGCTGCAGAAATCCGTTGTTCATTACCAAAGTGCTCCTTTAACAAAGCTTTTGCCCTTACGTATCCATTCTCAGGATTGATGTGTTGACAGCTCCGTATCAAATCTCTGGCCTGGCCTTTGGTGTACTGTTCCATGAAATATAAGAGATCTGAATTATTGTTTGTGTTTCTCTCGACTCCATTTTCGAATGCTTTGATGAAGGTGTGGTATTTTAATGGATCACCATCAAAAACAGGGATCTCTCGCTTTGGCAGAGCTGCGAGGCATTGTTGTTGAATTAGAAGAGTTGTTATCTCATTCTGCTTCTGCATGATTCCCATCACTCCGTTGTTATTGTCCACATATTCATTTGTTTGCCTATTTGAAATGGCTGTATGCACATATTGCGTGTTGGCCGGTTCCAGTGTTGCGTGTTGTGCTGCATTGCGTCCAGCAGATGGAGCTGTTCTATATTTGAGAGCGTAATTTTCATCATGCTTGTTGGTTACATTTGTTTTTATCGGCACCACTGGAATAAATTCCCCTGCATTAACATTGAGTGTTTGCTTTGACTTGTTCCTTTCAAAATAAGAGTTCATTCCATTTGACACATGTGATGCCACCATTGACCCTGCGTTTGCTTTTGAAGCCTTTGATGACTTTCCACTTATAGAAGATCTTGTTTTGAGAATGTTCAGTGCTGTCATTTTTTCTGCAATATCAGTTTCCAATTTCAGTTTTTCTTTCCTTTTTCTTATTTTTTCTTCTTCCTCCTCCAGTGCATGTCTTTCTTCCAATAACTTCTGTCTTGCGCCCAAAGCAGCGAGTTCTGCTTCAGCGTTTAAACGTGCAGAAGAAGTGCTGGAGTGTCTGGAATATGACGTGCGTGTTCCAGCATTTGAAGCACTGTCTGAAGGTTTCAATTCATCAGCAATTTCTTTTTTGTCCAAACATTGTTCTTTTTCTCCATTAATTTCATTTGTTGGCACCAAAGCTGGGTTTCCATTTGTTTCGAATAAATCGTGTTCATTTGAATCAGGTTCACACTCGTTAAGCCACTTATGAATGTCATCTTTAAATCTTTCACTACGTGACATTATGTCCGAAAACCATTCATTTTGTTGAGTGATTACGTCTTCGTCATATAAGGGCAACACTTCCTTGTGAACAGTGGCGGCTTTCTCACACAATTCATTAAATATTCCCAAAGATTCCTTTACATGAGACACGTTTTCCTTTTCACGCATGAGCTCTTTCATTTCTGGTACTAAAGCCTTTATTTTACTCACAAACCCTCTGCGTGCATGTTGCAATTTTTCAACCTTCAGTAGCAACGCTTTTTCAGTGAGTTTACTTTGCCTTTTTGGCTCTGCGTCAGGACACAAGGCTGCACCATTGATTTGACTCATATTCACACTTTTATTTATTCCAGTGAACCGTTTCAGTTATACATCAGTGGGCAAACAGATGCATCATTTTCATTTCAATAAAGCAGCGTTTATCATTTCCCATGAAACTCCATCTGCTCATCGCATTATTTTATCCACATATGCGTCAACAGCAGCGCACTTCCACATTTACGCACGGGCATCCAACAGACATACTTTCATCCAAGCGCTCCAAATGTAAATACTTCGTGTATTATTGCAACAAGGATTTCGTATCCACATTCAAACTGGCACAGGTATGGCTTACCTGGCGTCCACGCGTTTGATGCTGTGCTTTGCCCCGTGGGTTGGTGACAGCTGCACTTACTTGGCGTTCTCCGAGTGGATTGATATTGCGAGCAATGGCTTTCAGCAAATGCCTTTTTTGTTGACTAAATGTAGCGACTCTAGTGCCTATTGCCGCTGGAGAGGAGAAACCGGGTTCGTCTAATTGTATGACGCGCTGCTTGGCTGTCACAGAGCACACTTTGTCAGGAGTTAAGTTTGATGGCGTTTTAATGAAAAGAAACACGGAGGTGATAACATAACGTAGACGTCTTGATATTGAACGAAACAGTGAGAAAAACGAAGTTACAAAAGAAACAAAAAACAAACGAACGGTCTACAAAAACTACGGCGACCCAGCCCCCCTCTCTACTACTGATTTCATTCATAAAACAGAGGTGAGAACTAAGTAGACACCGCCCCAGTAACCACGTGACCCACCCGGCACATCATCCAATCAAACCCCAGCCCGGACTGTTATATTCAACTTATGGCTCCTACACACAGTTTGTCCTGAAATGTGACAATTTGACTTTTTTCTTCACAGACCGTTTCAAGGACTCATTCCAAAGCCAGGTCAGTTTCTCTATCGCTGATATAAAAATCTGTCGCATGTGTTACTTTTGATAAAGTTGAAAGAGACTCTGTGTTTATTCTCCCCCAGCTCCACGTCGCGTTTCTCTAATGAAGAAGGCTTACAGTTTGATCTCAGGTGTGTTCTGACCAAACAATCCCTCAGTTACTTTGAGTCAGTTGAAGTTCAAAACTACTTTCACTCAACACGTCGATGTCCACAAGGTTGTGTACTCGGCCCCTTATTGTTCACTATGTATAGCCCTAAATCACAACAGCATCATCTCAGAGACTTAACAAAACCGTTGAAATCACCAAAACAGATCAGAGAATCAACAGTTAAGACACAAAATATATAGAACATGTGGTATTGGACCATAGAGAGAGACCAATGTCCAAAGTGTTGTAGAGTGTAGAGTCATCACCACCGTCCACACTGAGAGAGGAATCCGCTCCTCAAGGATGTACAGGCTGTAGATCCAGGACTCAGACTGTAGAACGAGGACCAAGGCCACTCACCAATATTGTGGATAGCAAAGACCTCTGCCCCAGACTCCTCCTACTATTAACATCATATAGAAGGAGATGTTGATGTTGTCGGTGCGTGTGCTGCAGATGAGGAGAACGTTGGTCGAATGGGGGACAGAGGGCTGCTGCTGGAGCAAGTTCGAGAGCTCTTCAACACCAAATATGGTCAGTGCACATTTACAGGACGTTTCTTCTGCACTTCAGTGGCTCCACCTCTGCTCTGCAAACTGCTGCCGTTGGTCATTGGCGCATCCGGGGGGTTAAAAAACACAGCTATCACAATCAATTTGAGTCAATCCCAAACTCACAGAGAGACCCAAAACAGCAGAAGGAGAAAGCTGGGAAATGGCAAATGCACCTGTTATTCCATCTCCTATTGATCTGTGTGAAAATGTGTGCTTCTATCGGGACAAATGTCTTTCTCAAACATTGTCTTCCTTCGAGTTTATCATTGCATTATAACCCAAAAGAATTTTGTTTTTATTCTATGTCACCGCGAGATCAGCAGAGGAGAAAAAGCGGCAATTGTAGCCGTAGGATGTATATAATCATGTTTGACCCACTACGCGACAGATGAGCGTCTAAACTCTGTTTTGGTCTTTAAGTGTCCAAAAAGAGTCAATATTCAGAGAGATATGAGCTGCCTAAGAGGACTGGGGCTGGACTGGGGCTGGACTGGGGCAGGACTGAGCCAGGACTGAGCCAGGAATGGGCCAGGACTGTGCTAGAACTGGGCGAGGATTGGGCTAGAACTGGGCAAGGACTGAGCCAGGACTGAGGCAGAACTGAGGCAGGACTGAGCAAGGACTGAGCCAGGACTGAGGCAGGACTGAGCCAGGACTGAGGCAGAACTGAGGCAGAACTGAGGCAGGACTGAGCAAGGACTGAGCCAGGACTGAGCCAGGACTGAGCCAGGACTGAGCCAGGACTGAGCCAGGACTGAGCCAGGACTGAGCCAGGACTGGGCCAGGACTGAGCCAGGACTGAGCCAGGACTGGGCCAGGACTGAGCCAGGACTGAGCCAGGACTGGGCCAGGACTGAGCCAGGACTGGGCCAGGACTGAGCCAGGACTGAGCCAGGACTGGGCCAGGACTGGGCCAGGACTGAGCCAGGACTGAGCCAGGACTGAGCCAGGACTGAGCCAGGACTGGGCCAGGACTGAGCCAGGACTGAGCCAGGACTGGGCCAGGACTGAGCCAGGACTGAGCCAGGACTGAGCCAGGACTGAGCCAGGACTGGGCCAGGACTGAGCCAGGACTGGGCCAGGACTGAGCCAGGACTGAGCCAGGACTGAGCCAGGACTGAGCCAGGACTGAGCCAGGACTGAGCCAGGACTGAGCCTGGACTGAGCCAGGACTGAGCCAGGACTGGGCCAGGACTGAGCCAGGACTGAGCCAGGACTGGGCCAGGACTGGGCCGTAGTCCTGGCCCTGTGCAGTAGTGTAATGCGTTCCAATTCAGAGACAGTAATTTTGTAGTAACACATAACTTTAAAATAACAGTAATAAGTAATGCATCATGTATTAGGTTTTTGAAGTCCCTTTCAGCTCTGGTCTTGGTGCATGATCTAAAAACTGTGTGTTGTGGTGGTGCAGGTGAGGCGCTGGGGAAGGGCAGACCGGTCCTGGTCCCGTACAAACTGATCCAGGGCAGTCCTGAAGCCGTGGAGATCTGTGGCCTTCCAGACAACATCTCCTTCAAAAACCCAAACTCCTACGACCTGACGAGTCTGGAGCAGATCCTGGAGTCCAGCCACGACGTCTGCTTCAACATCAGACCGGACTTTCTGTGAGTTTACGTTCCCGGAGAATCAAAAACAAACAAATCCATCTGCGATACGGCTGAAAGGAGCAGAGATATACCTCAAAAACGATATCGGAAAGACCTAAGCCAGACCTAAAATCAATACACTCATAGGATATTACATGTATAATTTAATAGCTAATAAAATAATATCTCGTAAAATTATAAATAAATATATATAATAATAATAATAATAATAAAATAGATAAAAATCATAGCAGGAGCGACGGTGGCTCAGTTGGTAGAGTATTGGCCTTTGAGCCTGAAGGTCGTGGGTTCAAGTCCACCTTAAGACTTTATCCACTGTCTGCTGTCGTTGTGTCCTTGGGCAACACACTTAACCTGTGGGAACACCAGGTGCCACAGTGGGGCGGCTGTAGCTGTAATGTGCCGAACTGTCGTTGTGTCCTTAGGCAAGACACTTCACCCACATTAGAAAGAGTCTGATGTGTGTGTGAATGGTTGGTGGTGGTGGGAGGGACTGATGGCACAGACTGGTTGCCTCGCTTCTGTCAGTGTGCCCCGGGGCAGCTGTGGAATGAAGGGTCTTTGAGCGTCTTGAAAACCACTGTATAAAACCAATGCATTATTATTATTACTGAATATTGTTTCACATAGTATTTCTGATTTTTGTTTTCCGCACAGGCCGACGGCAGAGTTCAGCGATCAGACAGGTTTGTAACTGCAGCTCTTCCAAAGCTCAAATACAGAATCCACCTCAATGTCTCGTTGTGCTCTTCATGAACAGACGTTTATGCAAATCAACGGAAACGGAAAAGAGTCCAAGAAAGCGGCCATGTTCTCTCCTCCTCGGACCTGGGGAAACCAGCCAACGAGATTCCAGTTATGGTACGTTCCAATGGTTCTGAAGGAGACGTCATAGCAGTGGAAGGGACTGATGGTGCCATTTGAATGTTTAGGCTTTTTAATCAGCCAAAAATACAAACCACAAAACAACTAAACATGACCAAACTGAGCTGACACATGAGGAGAACATTTATTCTGGTGGATCATACCAACAGACGATCAGAGGGGGGACATGTTGGACTGAACTCATGCTGTTCTGAGCTATGAGGTATATCCACAATTTGATGGAGCTGACAGAGCAAGTCAGACAGAGTCGAAGAGCGTCTGAGATTTACAATGAGGCCATTGTAAATTGTAAATGGCCAATCAGAGCTGCTGATCAAAGCAGCGGTAGAGCGGGAAGAAAAGGAGCAGTTTGTGGCAGTAAAGTGTGAATTTAAGGAAGGATTTAAGAAGAAAAAAGTTCAGGACGACAAGGGACACAATATACGATCTTTATGAAAGCTGTAGGTTCTCTGTCAGGTTCTCTGTCAGCTGAGGTCGAGCTGTTTTAGTTTACATTGAGTTCTATGGGACTTTTTTCTGTTCAACGTGAATTTAGTTTGCAGTCCCACAGCACCCCCTGTGGCCGTGGGTGGGACAGCTAAAAGCTAGTAAGACCCTATCTAGTTATTATAGATCCATGCTAAAAACACATAGAGCCATAGTCAATAAGGGACAGAGACCACTGTCCATAAATGTTGTTGAACGTGGAGTGTCCTGGATCCTCCCTGTCCTTAGCCTCCTGCATCAAAGGAACGACTCTAAAACAGATTTTTACCATGACAACCAGAAACATGAAACTAGTCCACGCAAGATTGACACAACAGAGGTTCACCGAGACCTTTCAGATCTTGGGTTTGTACCAATTTGTCCTGATTCATGAAGGCCACGTCTGCTGCCTATGATTGCAGTGGGTGATCTTGGGTTAGCAAAGCCGAGGGCCACGGAAACCCATGGTCCAGCGCCAGGTTTTGCTTTTTTCTTCTTTGAGTGAACCTAATTGTGTGTGTGTGTGTGTGTGTGTTTTTGTGTTGCAGCAGTGGCCTATGTACACAGTGGACTACAGCGGGGTCAAAGTGTCGGTCTCTGGGAAAGTCAACAATTAACAAAGTTCTGCACACGCTCTGCATCTCCGCGGTGAAGGAGAAGGACCGGACGCTAAAGTATTTTCACTAACACTTCTCTAACGCCGTATTTGGACGACACTGAAGACCCGATTGTGCCGATTGGACGAAGATATACGGGAGATAATTTAAATGTTATTTATTATATTTATTAAGCTATAGAATGTGTGCAGGGAGCTTGATTTGTTTCAGTGAAGAATGAAGTTACTCACCGTTATATTAGCCTTTTTACTTGTTAGAATCAGCTGAATGTATCATTTATATAAGAAAACAGTATGTTAATCTCTGCAACACTCTGGACTAACCATATTTATAAGCTGTAACCTAATGCCAAGCTAGGCCTTTCAAATAAACATGTTTTGCCTTGTACTTTTTACGCACTCGTCTTTTTACATTATTATTATAGATTATTTATTGATCCCTGAGAAACACATCCATCCAAACAAACACACAAACACATATCGTATTTTTCAGACTATAAGCCGAAGCTTTTTTCTTGCATTTTGAAGGCCGAGGCTTATAGTCAGGTGCGGAGTATTTTGATTTGTTTAATTCATTTGTTTCTTGTGGTCCCAAAGACAGTAGACCGACAGAATTGATGAGTCGTTCACAGACGTCCAATTAAATGTAAGATTTGTTAATGTAGATTCAATAAAGTTTAAAAAGTCACGAACATCTTTGTGTAAATATCTCATAATAAATAGTTTTTTGGTTTTCTGTATCGACATGAAAGTGAACAGAGACCAGTGGATGCTGCTCCTTATGTCTCTGCTTCACACTGAAAGATTCACTTCTTACTTTTATGACTCACAGTATTAAAACACGAGAAACGTTTTTAAGCTAAGTTTTTCAATATGACAATGTGGGATATGTGCGGTTTATAATCCAGTGAAAACCATGTAAAGTCTGTTTTGGAGTCAAAAGGCTCTCCTCCTGTGCGGTGTACGGTTGTTGGAACAGTCTTAGTCGGGGACACTCAATTCTAAGGCAGTACTAAAAAATATTTCTCAAAAGAGACTTTATTTTGGGCCTTTTTGGAAAAAAAAACAGAAGAAATGGCTGCGTTTCATTGGGGTGGCCTGCAGGGGGCGCTTATCTGGGAAAGCCTTGATCCACCTGGCCCGCCTCATTCCAGTGATTTTTTCAAAGTGTCCTCCTTTATATGAGACCACAGTTGGAACATGAACAAACTCTTGTCTTTCTCTCTATTTGTGCGGTTGCTACAAGTGTCCACCGCACAGAAAGATGCCATTTTGACTGAAGACTGCAGCGCATCTTCTTCTTCTATATCTTCGTGTACAGACCCAGTAGACCGCACCGCCAGGGTACCTCACGTCCGGTCTGGTCCCACGTATGTCATTTGTGCCACTGCCCCTACGTCATGAAACCCAAGAGTTGTCCGGACATTACGGTAATTATAAACGTTTCTAAATAAAAGCAACATCACTTCAGGTCCCAGCCGCAGGTGGTGCAGCCGCAGGTGGTGCAGCCGCAGGTGATGAGCTGCTGTCTCTGGTTTATATTTGCAGAGTCTGCAAATATAAACCAGAGAATCTTTAAACCAGTCTCTCTGGTTTCATTTCTGCTCTGGTTCAGAGTGAAATTCCCTATGTGTTATTTGCATTTTTCAAAACAAAAATAAAATCTTTCCTCCAGTAGATTTCTGTTTGATCAGTTTGTTTGGGACCATCGTCTGCTCTGGTCTGGATCAGTGTAAAACCATGAACATTGTGCTGCAGTAACATTTACGAATGAAAACGAGCGAGAATCTCATCTGCTGCTCTCCTCACTGTCTCCACCGTCAACACGGGGTCAAGAGCATTTAGCCTCTGCCCCTAAACTCTGGAACACTCTCCGGCTCGACCGGCAACAGTCTTACTCTTTGGACATTTTCAAAACCAACCTTTTTAAACTGGCTTATTCTTTGTAATTTCATGTTTTATATTCTGTAATTTTAATAATGTGTCTGATGTTTTATATATTGTAAGGTGTCCTTGGGTGTTGTGAAAGGCGCCATGAAATGAATTTAATTATTATTACTATTATTATTAAGAAAAAAACAGATTGTAGGACTTCCAAAGATGGTGGAGGTGATGGCTCCACGAAAAATGTCACAGTCCAGTGGAAAAAAGGCAAGTACAAAAACTCTGCCATAAAGTCTTTATGATCCGAGATAAGCCGGAGCAAGATACACTTCAAAACAGAACAATCTGGAACTAGAGACAAGGTCGGCTTCGTTTATCTACTGCTCTGCTGATTGACCTGCAACGGTACAGCAGGGGAGGGGAGGGGCAGGGAAGGATGGGCGGAAGGGATCACAGCTTTTATAATAAGTTCATTTTAAGACGATATTTTCTTATGGTGAAACTTTTGATTAGCCTTCATTAAGTGCTAATTAGTGTATCTTGGCCTTAACCCTAGTCCACATGGGAAAGTGTTAATTAGTAGTAAATTAGATGTTCAATAATGTCTAATCAGTGCTTGTTAAATACCAATTAAGAGCGAATTAAACATAAATTACACACTATTTAGCTGCTACTGAGTGAGGGATAGAATAAAGTGTGATCATTCTTATGTTTGCCACACTCTTCATCCTGTCACTGTAGAAGAGAAGGTATTTGTGTTTGATCAGGAGGACAAAGTGATGTTCCAGATGTTATTTTTCCCACAGTGGTGTCTCTGATGCAGTGGGACCTAAGGACTGTGAAGCAGGACATTTGAGGACATTAATGAACATTTCTGGACAGTGGTCGTCCCGCTCCCTGTGGACCAATGACTCCTATATGTTTGTTATTATTGCATTTCCTTGAACTGTTTGGTTCTCTGATTTGTTTTTGGTGAATCGATAACTTGAATGTTCTAAGAGACGACTGCTGCTGTGATTTAGGGATATACACAAGTACTTCGAACTGAATTGTGTTATTGTGTGTAGTAACCATGGCATCCACTAGAGGGCAGTGTGCTTTTACAAATGCCTTATAGATGTTATCACCAACTTGCATGAAGCAGAGATCATTTCTATTCAGATATTTATTTAATGCATTCTACAGACTACTATTAAGTCATGTTTCAGTGTATACGTGTAATATACAAAGATAACACCACAGAATGAAGTCTACGCTTCAGATGCGTCTCTGCCTCTGTCTCTGCCGCTGCCTCTGTCTCTGTCTCTGTCTCTGTCTCTGTCTCTGTCTCTGTCTCTGCCTCTGTCTCTGTCTCTGTCTCTGTCTCTGTCTCTGTCTCTGCCTCTGTCTCTGTCTCTGCCTCTGTCTCTGCCTCTGTCTCTGTCTCTGTCTCTGCCGCTGCCTCTGTCTCTGCCTCTGTCTCTGTCTCTGTCTCTGCCTCTGTCTCTGTCTCTGTCTCTGTCTCTGTCTCTGCCTCTGCCTCTGTCTCTGTCTCTGTCTCTGTCTCTGTCTCTGTCTCTGTCTCTGTCTCTGCCTCTGTCTCTGTCTCTGTCTCTGTCCCTGTCTCTGTCTCTGTCTCTGTCTCTGTTCCTGTCTCTGTCCCTTCATTATGGAAGGGCATCAGGTCTTTTCGTCTCTAACACATGGATCTATTATAAAACTAACATCTGGGTTTGCCTGTTGTTTCCTGTTGTTTCCTGACGTTCCTTTCGCTTTCCTCACGTCACTGCGTCAGGTGACTGCTGCTGGCACAGCGCGCATTTCCGGACTGCAGCGCGTATCGGAGCAGACCTGTGGAAGATCCCCCCGGTCCACAGTCTGGGTCTGGGTCTGGGTCATAGACTGTAAAGTCTGGATCACAGTCTGTGGATGTGTGTGAAGAGAAGAGAGAGGCCTGGAGTCACGTCACTGAGAGCAGAGGGACACAGTCTGGTCAGGTAGGTCTGCAGAAGGTCCTGGTCTCTGGGAGGGACTCTACAGTCTATGGTCCTGGTCTCTGGGAGGGACTCCACAGTCTATGGTCCTGGTCTCTGGGAGGGACTCTACAGTCTATGGTCCTGGTCTCTGGGAGGGACTCTACAGTCTATGGTCCTGGTCTCTGGGAGGGACTCTACAGTCTATGGTCCTGGTCTCTGGGAGGGACTCTACAGTCTATGGTCCTGGTCTCTGGGAGGGACTCCACAGTCTATGGTCCAGGGGCCGTATTCCTAAAGATTCTTAGTGCTAAAAGTTGCTCCTAGTGGCCAAATTCTAAGAATTTCCTTAGAATCTTGACCAACTCTTAGAATTTCCCCTAAAAGTGAGGAGTAGCTTCTAGTTAAGAAAAAAGCTATTCCTAAAGAATCCTAGCTCTTAAGAGTGCTCCTAAGGTGAGATCCCTTAAGAGTTGAGAGGAGGACTTTTAGCAACTTAAAAGTTCCCTAGGAGGACAAAATGGTGGACGGTAGAGGCAGGAGAAATATTCTATACACTGGATGACAGTGAATCAGTAAAACACTGCAGATTGGATCTGGCAGGAATCATGTTTAAAAGTCAATCATGTAAAAGTCATCATGTACAAATAAACAGTTTTGTTTTATTAACAGCAATCCAGTTCAAAAAGGAGTGTGAAGAAGTTAATACTTTTAAACTCCCACCCTCTATTTATCATTCTAAATTAACTTAAATAGTGTGGTTGCTACAGCTTAGTTTATTCCATGGTGTATTTACAGTTATGCAACAGTGACATTCACAATAACATGCACTTGATTTGTGTATGTATAAAATGCTTATATTAATATTTTTTCCTTAATTCCTTTTACGTCTTTCAGTATCACAGCCTTTACTAATCCTAATGTTATAATCATCATATATATATATATATATATATATATATATATATTAAAGTGCTCATGTTGTATACGTTTGTTAAATATGTGTTAAATATGTGTGATAAATTGGTGCTGAGCAAGCTCTAATGATGTGGTGTAAAAGTCAAACTTACAACAGTAAGTTAGACAATATTAGTAAATAAATCTGACTTTCTACCTTTTATGATTATTTACAATGACACAGTATTCCTAAGATTAGATTCTATGACTGAGTTTGTCCATTAGAGGATCCTTATTTTGCCCATTATCAAAAATATGGTTTCTCTAACTTTTAGGATCAACCAATCACAGCGTCTGAAATGATGACTCATACCTAGCAACGGGGTCGGCCACGCCCCCTCACTAAGATAAGAGTTGTCGTTCATTCCTTGCTCAGAGTTCTCTAAGAGTGTTCTGGAATAACTTTTAAGCTAAGACTCCTAGCTAGGAGTTTTTAGGTTAAGATAGGAGCTCTCTGAGAGGACTCTGAGAATCTTTAGGAATACGGCCCCTGGTCTCTGGGAGGGACTCCACAGTCTATGGTCCTGGTCTCTGGGAGGGACTCTACAGTCTATGGTCCTGGTCTCTGGGAGGGACTCTACAGTCTATGGTCCTGGTCTCTGGGAGGGACTCTACAGTCTATGGTCCTGGTCTCTGGGAGGGACTCTACAGTCTATGGTCCTGGTCTCTGGGAGGGACTCCACAGTCTATGGTCCTGGTCTCTGGGAGGGACTCCACAGTCTATGGTCCTGGTCTCTGGGAGGGACTCTACAGTCTATGGTCCTGGTCTCTGGGAGGGACTCTACAGTCTATGGTCCTGGTCTCTGGGAGGGACTCTACAGTCTATGGTCCTGGTCTCTGGGAGGGACTCCACAGTCTATGGTCCTGGTCTCTGGGAGGGACTCTACAGTCTATGGTCCTGGTCTCTGGGAGGGACTCTACAGTCTATGGTCCTGGTCTCTGGGAGGGCAAAGTGTATTTTTCACTTATAACAAGTTTGAAACAAAGTAAAGCGTTGATTCAGAAGTCAGAGCCTGTAGAGTCGTATAGAGAGAGTCTGAGCACGTAATGCACTGTCTGTGACACTGTCATTGTTATAATAAGAATAATAAAGCCGCAAGCGGCGATGAACGACCCTCGGCATAGACGTTGGAACTAGGGGTGCCCCCCGCACCCCATCTGCGTGTGCCGGGAGCGAGAAGTTATCACGATTCAAGATGTTGCGTCTATCCTGCGCCCCTTGCAGCCCCAAACCCGCTCCATGCTGTTGGAGGTGCTTATGAAGCTCATGGTCCATATCTGTCGCGGCCTCTGAGCGCTCTTTCTCAGCCTTGCGCAGATTAAAGACCTGGGGCCGTATTCCTAAAGATTCTCAGTGCTAAAAGTTGATCCTAGTGGCCAAATTCTAAGAATTTTCTTAGAATCTTGACCAACTCTTAGAATTTCCCCTAAAAGTGAAGAGTAGATCCTAGTTAAGATAAAAGCTATTCCTAAAGAATCCTAGCTCTTAAGAGAGCTCCAAAGGTGAGATCTCTTAAGAGTGGAGAGGAGGACTTTTAGCAACTTAAAAGTTCCCTAAGAGACAAAATGGTGGACGGTAGAAGCAGGAGAAATATTGTATACACTGGAGGACAGTGGATCAGTGAAACGCTGCAGATTGAGTCGTGCAGGAATCATGTTTGTGGTATATTTAAAAGTCAATAAAGTGACCAGCTTCTTATTGGCTGGTCAGCAATAAAACACCTCATCCATTTTACACTTGTTACACAAAAGTAGAAATGGTAAAAGTTTAAAGAGAAAAAACAACCATCATGGTAATTAATAAAAACAAGTAAATATAACTTATTGTGTTAATACTGTACAAGTGGGCCTTTCACACATTCAGTACGAATGAATGAATACTTTATTTCGAGCCATGGCAAACAAGGAAAAAGGACAACAACAAACAAAACAACAGAATAGAAGAAGTACAAATGTACAGTTTTGTTTTATTAAAAACGATCCAGCTCAAAAAGGAGTGAGAAGAAGTTAAGACTGTTAAACTCCCACTCTCTATTTATCATTCTAAATGAACTTAAATGATGTGGTTGCTACAGATTAGTTTATGCCGTGGTATATTTACAGTTAACAACAGTGACATTTACAATAATATGACCTTGACTTGTACAGTTTATAAATAATATGTTTATATTAACATTTTTCCCTTAATTCCTTAAATGTCTTACAGTATCACAGCCTTTACTAATCCTAACATTATCATCATATACATTATATATATATATATATATATAATGTATAAACACACACAGTTTATAAGTGCTCATGATATATACGTGTGTTAAATATATATATGTGTTAAATATATATATGTGTTAAATATATATGTGATAAATTGGTGCTGAGGAAGCTCTAATGATGTGGTAAAGTCTAACTTTCACAGTATTCATTTAACAGTGATATTTCTGACTTTCTACCTTTTCTGACTATTATTAACAATAACACAGTCTTCCTAAGATTAGATTCCATGATTAAGTTTGTCCATTAGAAGATCCTTATTTTGCCCATTATCATCAAAAATATGTTTTCTCTAACTTTTAGGATCAACCAATCACAGCGTCTGAAATGATGACTCATCCCTAGCGACGGGGTCGGCCACGCCTCCTCTCTAAGATAAGAGTTGTCGTTCATTCCTTGCTTAGAGTTCTCTAAGAGTGTTCTGGAATAACTTTTAAGCTAAGACTCCTAGCTAGGAGTTTTAGGGTTAAGATAGGAGCTCTCTGAGAGGACTCTGAGAATCTTTAGGGATACGGCCCCTGGATACACCAGTGACGGTGACGGTGCGGTGGGGGATCAATCATGAGTTCATATGATTAAACATATAAATCAACAGGACCTACAGAGCGGCTTATACACAATGTGTTTGGCTACAGCACAATATGTTTTAATGTCAGCATAGTTAGCTCATACAAAACGCAAAAGTTTGTAAAAAGCACAAAGTGTGTTATGGGCCTTACCTTCGTTATTAATGAACAGCACAGACCAGTTCAGTTCAGACCGGTTTCATGTTTAAGTCCAGATAATAGATTTAGCGCAGATATCTAATCCTCCATTTGGAAATAAGTTCAATGAGTTTAAAAAGTAAAAGAAACGGGTGTCTCCTCCGTAAACTCCTCTCGAGTTTTGCTGCAGCCGACTCCGGGTGAATCCAATTTCTAAAATCAACCTTATCCTTCACCTCCTTTTCTTATGATTCCTATCATCATTGGAAGCATAACATTACTCTAAAAATGTATTATAGGTATGTTAGCCAAACCTGTAGCTGCCCTTCGAAGAAGAAGAACAAAAAATCAGCTTTCTGATGGAATTGAATGCGCCCCCTTGAGGCTTTCCTCACTTACAAGCTGTGGTTGAGCGCGATTAAGACCCATATTTGCTTCAAAAACAGAATTTATGAGCCATCCTCTTGTAAACATTCTTTCTGTGATCTTAGGTGAGGCTGGGCCTGCCTCATCTGACCGCACGTCACTGGGCTACACAGTCCACTGAAGCCGCCGGAGATACTGACGCATAATGCGCAGAGTGACCTGATAGATGTTTCTACTCTGCTTTATAATTCATCAGTAGTTCACTGAGAGAAGGTTCACTTTTGGGAAAATATGAAAGTTCTTATTTGATTGCAAACTGTTCATCTTCTGTCAGTGTCAGCGCGATTTACTTAAAATTGTTCCATTGTTCCAGCTTTTAAAAATGTATTGTGTGTGCGTCTGACGTGTTTGTTTTTCCAGCTTTGAAAAAAAAACAATGTTCAGTTTGATAAGTGCCTTGCTTGATTTATATTGTTTCATTTTTGTTTTCTTAACAATTAAGATGCTATGTTATTATCCAGTGTAATCGTATGAGTCTCTCCCTCGACTCTCCCAATAAAACCCACCCCCCCTCTCAGAAAATAGTTCCGACGTCCATGGCCCTCGGTTTCCCCAAACCATAGCTCCCTCACTCTGCTTTCTGCTCTGTGTCCCTCGGCGATGCACAATCTCTCCTTTGTTTGTTCACTGTTGGGAAGAGGAGGTCTTTCTGTCACTGGAACTTCTTATTTGTCTTTCAAATCTGAGGCTGACCTCAGATGTCCCACTCCTTTCATTTTTAGATTCAAAGCGGTGTTTGTTTGGTAAGAAGGATATTTAATAGTAATATTTATCAGAATGTATAACAAAGAAGAACCTTTACTAAAGTCCATCTCTGTTCAACAAACTGTTCTCAGCTGCAGCTCAAACATTCTGACACTTAAACTATGAATCTGTTTAAACATATATTTACAGTCCGTTTAAACTAGGGCTGTCAAACGATTAATTTTTTTTAGTTGATTAATCGCATAATAATGGTGAGTTAACTCACAATTCATCAAATTTTTAACATTCTATTTCAAATCCACTTAAATTGAAGTCAAATGAGATCATCAAATGTAATTACACATGTCATTTTAACCAAATGTACTTAAATCTGTTTGATTCACAACCTTTTACTTTTGGCACAACCAACATGAGCTGTTAATGAAAGAGGAAAATGTACATACCCCAGCTTTAATTTAGTGAGTTTTGTTTAGTTTAGTTTAAGGAGGAGACACGGACACTTCCGCGGTGTATTTGCGTGCACGGGTTTCAAAGACAAGCACACAACATGCAGAGAATAGTCCTGTGGCGTGTTTGGTCTGACCGCGGCCCATTCGCTCACAGCCGCTGACAACAACCAGAGCGACCAGAGCGGCCGCAGCTGCCCCCGCGGAGGCAGACCTCAGGTCACAGCAAACAGCCCCACGGTCACGCGTGTATTCTTTTATAACATGAATTCCCAGAGGGCCTACCTGCTCCGCTGCCATCTCACAAACGCATGAGTGATATTATGGATAAATGGGCGGGTCATTCGGACGTGTGTTAATGAAAAATGTAATTAACGTGAGTTAACGCGATAATTTTGACAGCCCTAGTTAAAACATATATTTAGTCTGTTTAAATGCCATTAGAACATATTTCTCTGAACAGCAGACAAAGGAAGTTTGTTTCTTAAAGGCACAGCGTGTGGTTACATTAAAAACATGGCTAAGAGTTAGCATCATGCTACTTTCCGTCCTTATTCCCCAAACTCAGTGGTTCTTCTCCTGCAGAGACACAGGTCCAGAGAAATGTTTCTATTATTTATACTGTATCCACTTTTCGTCGGCTGAATTAAAACCACGCGACACACGCCGTGGGATCCCATTGTTTTCTTACAGCTTTATATTGAAAGTTTCTACATAAAGCTGAGTAGAGCAGAGCAGAGCAGAGCAGAGTAGAGTAGAGTAGGGTAGGGTAGGGCTGGTGGAAACAGGGCTTTGGTTTGTCATTATGAGCCACTTCGCAGAATATTGGACTTTAATAATTTTCCAAATCAAACAGAAAAAATATTTCAGCTGAACTTATGTTTTTGCATCAGGAAGTTTAAATGGAAATGACTTCATCACAGCAGGTTTTTACAGCGCCCTCCTCAGTGTTTGCTTCCGGTCATGAGCAGACCATAACAAATGTGACCTTTAAGTTGAGTCTTATTTTCTAAGTTCTGAATAAAATGAGGGACATGAATCGCGACATTACTCAGAACCGAATCACAAAACCCGATGTATCACAACATGTTAAGAACTGCAATAATATTGAATTGTGGCCAGAATATTGTAATTCTATCGAAACGTCACAGTTTTGCCTCGAGCTCGAATCCAGTCAAAACAGTTGTATTTTCTGGGTCGCCGGGCCCTGGGAAAGTCTGTGAACTAAAGCAGTCATAAGTCATATTTATTTATATAGCGCCTTTCACAGACCAGAGTCACAAAGCGCTTTAGATTAGATTAGATTATTAGATTTTTCTGAAATTAAAATATGTTCATGGTTTTATATTTAACTATTTAACGTTCTGATGATGTGCTGGGTTAACATTTAAAATAACATGCCGCAAGTTCATAACATTAATAATTGAAAATCATTAAAGGGGCCACTAAAAATGCTCCCACGAGTTTGACATACCTGACCTAGAAGAAACCTAAACAGACACAGGGAGAACATGCAAACTCCACACAGAAAGAGGTGGAATCAAACCCAAAAAAGTGTCCCTCTGACGTGGCCTTCCCTCTGCTCACAGGCCGCTCCAGACCGAGAGAGAGGTTTCCCTATGGAGCCGTGATGGGCCTCGGTCTGAGTCTCGGTCTGAGTCTCGGTCTGAGCCTCGGTCTGAGTCTCGGTCTGAGTCTCGATCTGAGTCCCGGTCTGAGTCTCGGTCTGAGTCTCGGTCTGACCACTCGGACCCCCGCGAGTGGAGGATGAGGCTCCTGCTGGTCCTGCTGCTGCTCCTTCTGCTCCTGCCACCTCCCTGCTCAGGTCTGTACTCCAGGGATGTTCAACCAGTGGGCCGTGGTGCAAGAGCGTGCCCTGAGATGTTTTTTTTGTGCCTTTGACCCACAGCCGTCGCATTGGTCAAAAACAATTAGAGCAGATTATGAAGCAAAAATGGATGAAAAATAAGTCAGAAATTGGTTTGAGTAAAACATCAGTCGCACTGGGATTATTCAGAACAAAGCAGGTCGTTCGCACTTCATCTGTACTTCAGTTTGCACGTTTAATCCAAAGAACTTTCTGAAGGAAATGAAAGCTCAGCCACGAGTTGGAGATCTGTAACCTGTGGGAGGGGTCAGACCTTTTCCACCCAGAGAGCTACTTTCCCCAAGACGAAAAACACAGAGAGCTCCTCCTTTAAGCGGCCCTTGGAGAATATATTGGGCTATTCATTATATCAACAGTGATTATTTATCATCACATATTCAGGACGTGCGCACAAAGTATAATAATAATAACAAATAATACGATATGCAATATCCTGTATACTCTTTGATTTGTTCATTTCTATATCCTTTGGCGAGCTACCTGAAAAGGGGTGGTGAGCTACTGGTGGCTCCTGAGCTTCAGGTTGGAGACCCCAGGGTTATGCGGCAAAAGATTGCTAAAATTTGACAAAATGTATGTTAATTTGACCACATTTTGACTGCATTAAAGCAATATTTGCCAAAGTGACACAAACTTGGAAAAAGAAAATGAAGTAACATTCTTTGTCCCATTGGTAAATCTTGTTGTTTTCTCTCTGTGCTGTACTATTGTAATAACCTGTGCTCCCTTCAGGCCTGGACCCCCCGGCTCCTCGGAACCTCCGCATGAGCAGTGAGAACTTCAAACATGTGCTTCACTGGACTCCAGCTGAGGACGCTGCTCCAGGCCTCATCTACCACGTGCACCACAGGTGTGTGTGTGTGTGTGTGTGTGTGTGTGTGTGTGTGTGTGTGTGTTTCCCTTTGTGTGTGTGTCTGTGTCTGTGTCTGTGTGTGTGTGTGTGTGTGTACTGAAGAAAATTCAAGTCATTTTCAATTGGAACAATCTTTCACTAACATCTGTCTCTCTGTCTGTCTGTCTCTTTCTGTCTTTCTCTGTCTGTCTCTCTCTCTCTCTCTTTGTCTGTCTGTCATCTGTCTGTCTGTCTCTGTCTCTCTCCATCTTTGTTGTCTGTCTGTCTGTCTCTCTCTCTGTGTCCGTCTGTCTCTTTTTCTGTCTGTTGTCTGTCTGTCTGTTGTCTGTCTGCCTCTCTGTTTGTTTGTCTGTCTATTGTCTGTCTGTCTGTCTGTTGTTTCTCTCTCTCTCTCTCTCTCTCTCTCTCTGTGTCTGTTACCTGTCTGTCTGTCTGTTGTTTCTCTCTCTCTCTCTCTCTCTCTGTGTCTGTTACCTGTCTGTCTGTCTGTTGTTTCTCTCTCTCTCTCTCTCTCTGTCTGTTAGCTGTCGGTGGTGCAGGATTAAGCCCAGACGTCGAGGTCAGCTTCTGACCTCCAGCACAGAGCCCTGGGCGGTGGTGCCTCTGCGTCAGCCTGAGAACACCTACAGTCTGTGTGTCCAGAGTCAGCAGAACCAGAGCTACTCCCGTTGCTCCAGCACGCTGAGCTTCACCCCCTACCTGGACAGTGAGTCCTCTTTCAATTCAATAGACCCCGAACATGCTAACCTCCGGGTTTGAGACAGCACAGGGCTATAGGAGGTAGTTATATATCACAGGTACAGGATGTAAACAGCACAGGGCTATAGGAGGTAGTTATATATCACAGGTACAGGATGTAAACAGCACAGGGCTATAGGAGGTAGTTTAACACAGGTACAGGATGTAAACAGCACAGGGCTATAGGAGGTAGTTTAACACAGGTACAGGATGTAAACAGCACAGGGCTATAGGAGGTAGTTTAACACAGGTACAGGATGTAAACAGCACAGGGCTATAGGAGGTAGTTTAATATCATAGGTACAGGATGTAAACAGCACAGGGCTATAGGAGGTAGTTTAATATCATAGGTACAGGATGTAAACAGCACAGGGCTATAGGAGGTAGTTTAATATCATAGGTACAGGATGTAAACAGCACAGGGCTATAGGAGGTAGTTTAATATCACAGGTACAGGATGTAAACAGCACAGGGCTATAGGAGGTAGTTTAATATCATAGGTACAGGATGTAAACAGCACAGGGCTATAGGAGGTAGTTTAATATCACAGGTACAGGATGTAAACAGCACAGGGCTATAGGAGGTAGTTTAATATCACAGGTACAGGATGTAAACAGCACAGGGCTATAGGAGGTAGTTTAATATCACAGGTACAGGATGTAAACAGCACAGGGCTATAGGAGGTAGTTTAATATCACAGGTACAGGATGAAAACAGCACAGGGCTATAGGAGGTAGTTTAATATCACAGGTACAGGATGTAAACAGCACAGGGCTATAGGAGGTAGTTTAATATCACAGGTACAGGATGTAAACAGCACAGGGCTATAGGAGGTAGTTTAATATCACAGGTACAGGATGTAAACAGCACAGGGCTATAGGAGGTAGTTTAACACAGGTACAGGATGTAAACAGCACAGGGCTATAGGAGGTAGTTTAATATCACAGGTACAGGATGTAAACAGCACAGGGCTATAGGAGGTAGTTTAATATCACAGGTACAGGATGTAAACAGCACAGGGCTATAGGAGGTAGTTTAACACAGGTACAGGATGTAAACAGCACAGGGCTATAGGAGGTAGTTTAATATCACAGGTACAGGATGTAAACAGCACAGGGCTATAGGAGGTAGTTTAATAACACAGGTACAGGATGTAAACAGCACAGGGCTATAGGAGGTAGTTTAACACAGGTACAGGATGTAAACAGCACAGGGCTATAGGAGGTAGTTTAACACAGGTACAGGATGTAAACAGCACAGGGCTATAGGAGGTAGTTTAATATCACAGGTACAGGATGTAAACAGCACAGGGCTATAGGAGGTAGTTTAATACACAGGTACAGGATGTAAAACAGCACAGGGCTATAGGAGGTAGTTTAACACAGGTACAGGATGTAAACAGCACAGGGCTATAGGAGGTAGTTTAACACAGGTACAGGATGTAAACAGCACAGGGCTATAGGAGGTAGTTTAATATCACAGGTACAGGATGTAAACAGCACAGGGCTATAGGAGGTAGTTTAACACAGGTACAGGATGTAAACAGCACAGGGCTATAGGAGGTAGTTTAACACAGGTACAGGATGTAAACAGCACAGGGCTATAGGAGGTAGTTTAATATCACAGGTACAGGATGTAAACAGCACAGGGCTATAGGAGGTAGTTTAATATCACAGGTACAGGATGTAAACAGCACAGGGCTATAGGAGGTAGTTTAATATCACAGGTACAGGATGTAAACAGCACAGGGCTATAGGAGGTAGTTTAATATCACAGGTACAGGATGTAAACAGCACAGGGCTATAGGAGGTAGTTTAACACAGGTACAGGATGTAAACAGCAAAGGGCTATAGGAGGTAGTTTAATATCACAGGTACAGGATGTAAACAGCACAGGGCTATAGGAGGTAGTTTAATATCACAGGTACAGGATGTAAACAGCACAGGGCTATAGGAGGTGGTTTAATATCACAGGTACAGGATGTAAACAGCACAGGGCTATAGGAGGTAGTTTAACACAGGTACAGGATGTAAACAGCACAGGGCTATAGGAGGTAGTTATATATCACAGGTACAGGATGTAAACAGCACAGGGCTATAGGAGGTAGTTTAATATCATAGGTACAGGATGTAAACAGCACAGGGCTATAGGAGGTAGTTTAATATCACAGGTACAGGATGTAAACAGCACAGGGCTATAGGAGGTAGTTTAACACAGGTACAGGATGTAAACAGCACAGGGCTATAGGAGGTAGTTTAACACAGGTACAGGATGTAAACAGCACAGGGCTATAGGAGGAAGTTTAACACAGGTACAGGATGTAAACAGCACAGGGCTATAGGAGTTAGTTTAACACAGGTACAGGATGTAAGCAGCACAGGGCTATAGGAGGTAGTTTAACACAGGTACAGGATGTAAACAGCACAGGGCTATAGGAGGTAGTTTAATATCACAGGTACAGGATGTAAACAGCACAGGGCTATAGGAGGAAGTTTAACACAGGTACAGGATGTAAACAGCACAGGGCTATAGGAGGTAGTTTAACACAGGTACAGGATGTAAGCAGCACAGGGCTATAGGAGGTAGTTTAACACAGGTACAGGATGTAAACAGCACAGGGCTATAGGAGGTAGTTTAATATCATAGGTACAGGATGTAAACAGCACAGGGCTATAGGAGGTAGTTTAATATCACAGGTACAGGATGTAAACAGCACAGGGCTATAGGAGGTAGTTTAACACAGGTACAGGATGTAAACAGCACAGGGCTATAGGAGGTAGTTTAATATCACAGGTACAGGATGTAAACAGCACAGGGCTATAGGAGGTAGTTTAATATCACAGGTACAGGATGTAAACAGCACAGGGCTATAGGAGGTAGTTTATCACAGGTACAGGATTTAAAAAGCACAGGGCTATAGGAGGTAGTTTAACACAGGTACAGGATGTAAACAGCACAGGGCTATAGGAGGTAGTTTAATATCATAGGTACAGGATGTAAACAGCACAGGGCTATAGGAGGTAGTTTAATATCATAGGTACAGGATGTAAACAGCACAGGGCTATAGGAGGTAGTTTAATATCACAGGTACAGGATGTAAACAGCACAGGGCTATAGGAGGTAGTTTAACACACAGGTACAGGATGTAAACAGCACAGGGCTATAGGAGGTAGTTTAACACAGGTACAGGATGTAAACAGCACAGGGCTATAGGAGGTAGTTTAATATCACAGGTACAGGATGTAAACAGCACAGGGCTATAGGAGGTAGTTTAATATCACAGGTACAGGATGTAAACAGCACAGGGCTATAGGAGGTGTTTAACACAGGTACAGGATGTAAACAGCACAGGGCTATAGGAGGTAGTTTAACACAGGTACAGGATGTAAACAGCACAGGGCTATAGGAGGTAGTTAACACAGGTACAGGATGTAAACAGCACAGGGCTATAGGAGGTAGTTTAACACATAGGTACAGGATGTAAACAGCACAGGGCTATAGGAGGTAGTTTAATATCACAGGTACAGGATGTAAACAGCACAGGGCTATAGGAGGTAGTTTAACACAGGTACAGGATGTAAACAGCACAGGGCTATAGGAGGTAGTTTAACACAGGTACAGGATGTAAACAGCACAGGGCTATAGGAGGTAGTTTAATATCATCCAGGTACAGGATGTAAACAGCACAGGGCTATAGGAGGTAGTTTTATATCACAGGTACAGGATGTACACAGGGCTATAGGAGGTAGTTTAAACAGCACAGGGCTATAGGGTAGTTTAATATCACGGTACAGGATGTAAACAGCACAGGGCTATAGGAGGTAGTTTAATATCACAGGTACAGGATGTAAACAGCACAGGGCTATAGGAGGTAGTTTATCACAGGTACAGGATTTAAAAGCACAGGGCTATAGGATGGTAGTTTAACACATGGTACAGGATGTAAACACACAGGGCTATAGGAGGTATTTAATATCATAGGTACAGGATGTAAACAGCACAGGGCTATAGGAGGTAGTTTAATATCACAGGTACAGGATGTAAACAGGGGCTATGTAAATATCAGGTACAGGGTAAACAGCACAGGGCTATAGGAGGTAGTTTTAATATCACAGGTACAGGATGTAAAGCACAGCACAGGGCTATAGGAGGTAGTTTAATATCACAGGTACAGGATGTAAACAGCACAGGGGCTTAGGAGGTAGTTTAATATCACAGGTACAGGATGTAAACAGCACAGGGCTATAGGAGGTAGTTTAATATCACAGGTACAGGATGTAAACAGCACAGGGCTATAGGAGGTAGTTTAATATCACAGGTACAGGATGTAAACAGCACAGGGCTATAGGAGGTAGTTTAACACAGGTACAGGATGTAAACAGCCACAGGCTATAGGAGTTTTAATATCACAGGTACAGGATGTAAACAGCACAGGGCTATAGGAGGTGGTTTAAATCTAGGTACAGGATGTAACAGCACAGGGCTATAGTTAATACACAGGTACAGGATGTAAACAGCACAGGCTATAGGAGGTAGTTTAACACAGGTACAGGATGTAAACAGCACAGGTCTATAGGAGGTAGTTTTATATCACAGGTACAGGATGTAAACAGCACAGGGCTATAGGAGGTAGTTTAATATCATAGGTACAGGATGTAAACAGCACAGGGCTATAGGAGGTAGTTTAATATCACAGGTACAGGATGTAAACAGCACAGGGCTATAGGAGGTAGTTTAAACACAGGTACAGGATGTTAAAGCAGCACAGGGCTATAGGAGGTAGTTTAAATCACAGGTACAGGATGTAAACAGCACAGGGCTATAGGAGGTAGTTTATTAGATTCACTAGGTTACAGGATGTAAACAGCACAGGGCTATAGGAGGTAGTTTTAATATCACCAGGTAACAGGATGGTAAACCAGCACAGGGCTATAGGAGGTAGTTTAATATCACAGGTACAGGATGTAA